CTACAGCCCGCCCCCCAACAATCGCGTGGATGAAGACACCGTTGATGCCCCGCACTTCGGCCAAGTGGCTGACCAGCTGCAGCAGCCAATGGAGCCACAGCCACAGCAAAAGGGCCAGGGAGTACAGCAGCAGCAGCACCAGCAGCTGCACCAGCAAGAGGCTGATGTGGTGGTGGGTCCCCTCTCTCACCCTGCAGCAGCAATCGGCCAGTCCGACAATGGTGAGGCGTCCCCCGCAGGTGTTGTTGCTCAGCCCCAGCTGCAGCCAACGCCCTCGTTTGCGCCGCCGTCCATTCCCAACTCGGCTCATTTCCTCCCTCCCCCGCCACCCATCGCCGTGGCCGTGGAGACGCCGCAGTTCCCCCTGTCTGAGGCGCAGCAGGGCGCTGCTGATGGAGGGGATGTGGAGGGGCAGGGGAGGGTGCGGGTGTGTTGGCGCCTCCGGCTGTGGAGCTGCCTGTCGGTGACCCGGTGATGCCCTTCATGCCGCAGCAGATGATGGCCCCGGTGCCCCCAGCGCCCGTTTTGCCGCACCCCTTCAATCTCATGATGGCCCTCGCGGCGATGGGCAACGGCATGCAGCCCAGCGTCATGTTGCCCATGATGCCCCAGCCGTTTGCCTCGGCTGCTCCCCCGCCCTGCCAGTTTGGTGCCATGCCGTTGGCCCTCGATCCTGCCATGGCTATCGCCAACAATCCCCAGCCACCAGCACATGAGGTGAGCAAGGAATACACACATACACTATGATTGTGTGTTAGCATCTGTGTGTATGTGTCTGTGTGCAGATGCCGCTGCGTGAGCCGCCGTTCCACAACAAGACCATCACCCCGCCACCGCCCCCTCCCGACACACACCTCAACGGCGCCGGCCACAACGGCAGCCACATCGGATACGGGCAGGGAAAGCAAGGCGGCCATGACAACAAAGAGGGGCTACTGGGCGACCATGGTCAGCACCATGGCGGAGGGGGTGCGATGGGGCAGGGCGGCCAACATCGTCATCACCAACAGCAGCAGCCCGTGCATCACCCGCAGGGCGCCTGCGGCGGGTGGGGAGGCCACAACATACACCCCGCCGACCACCACCACCACCACCAGGGGCCCCAGGCGGACTTCAACAACACCAGCTTCAACCCGCACATCACCAACGTGCATGCCCACCGACAGCAGCCGCAGCCGCAGCAGAGGCCCAACGCATACATGTACCCGACCATTCTGCCGCCCCCGCCTGCCGCCAACGGACAGCACCACAACCACCACCACAACAAAACCAACCGGCACAACGGGTGGGGCGGCGGATGGGGCGGCCAGAGGGGCGGGCCAGGAGGCAGTGGGGGCCGGCTGAGAGGAGGGCGCAGCGGCCGACGAGGCGGGGCGGGTGACAGCCGCCGTCGTGGCCACTAGGAGATCGCCCACATGAGGCGGGCTGGACGTCTGCTTTGTGTTTTGGGACGGTTGGGTGGGGTGGGAGGGGGGAGGGGGGGGCATACGTGAGTATATTATGAATGAGCTGATTGACTGACCGTTCCTTGACCGTTTGATTTTCCCAGAGATGTCTCCATCTGGCTGCCATGGTGTCACGCTGGCGAGGTGGCCGGCCAGTGAACACATCTTGACTTCTTGGCTTATTGTGCCTGGCCGCCTGGCTGTCTGGACGTCTGACTGTGACGCACATCAGTGCGTGTGTGTGCGTGCGCGTGTGTGTGTGTGTGTGTGTGTGCGCCTGATTGACAGCAGTGAACATGAGCCACCGAACACACCAGCGAGAGAATGACAGCCGGTATACGTCAAATGGGGGAGGAAAGGGCTGCAAGGGAGGGGAGAGACAAGGGAGGGGAGTTATGCGTGTCTGACTATAGCGTGCCCGCGTCTGTTTGAAGGGGGAGGGGCGTGTGTGGCTGCCAGTGTTCATGGGGCTGAGAGAGAGGGCTTTGTCAGTCGGACAAATGACAATCGAGCGATCTTCAGAGGTTCAACAACATAATCCAAACCAGGCACTGAGACATCAGGCACACGAACGTGCCGAATCCCCCAGCATGTCACTTACCGATTTGTGGCCACGGAGCACAACTCAATTCAGCACCGCTCCCGTCGTTGCGAGACCGCTCGTCTGCGTTGCTTGTCATCGCAAAGAGAAAGATCGATGGAAGGTATGGTCTCAGCACAGCTACCTGCACACGACCGCATCATCCCACCGCTCGGAGCTCTGCGACACGTCGGAGACTGGGGGGAACTGGGGGTCACCTTGCTCCTCAATATACGCGAGAAAGTATGAGCGCCAAAAAAACAAGCAAGGTACGCATTCCACGAGCCGCCCATCATTCGTATACATAAGATCCATGTGTACGTCTGCTCCCTCGTCTCATGCAGAAACCTTCGCCTCGCAAGGGCGGCGTTTCATCGCCTCGAGTGTTCCACAGGGGCTGGTCGCGCGTCAGAGATGCCGTCTTCGGCGCCGTCACTGACGACGAGCGCAAGACGTCACTTGACTTCCTGCTCGAGAGCAGACGGAGGCAGCGACAGCAGGCATACAGACGGGCCGGACCGGCACGTGCGGCCCCTCTCACCAAGGCAATGGGCCTCTTGGGCTTCATCCCGACTGACATGAGCATGCAGGAGCTCAACGAGGCAGGCATCGCCGCGGATGAGTGGCTGAAGCGGGTGCACAACAAGCTCCAGGCCGGCGGGATGCCGTCCGCACTGAATTATCCGTGTCCGACCGATTGGAAAGGCCTGAGAGGGCCGATCCCGCGGTCCTTCTACGAGGTCCAACACCCGGTTGCACATGTCGTCGAGCCCAAGGTGGATGGAGAGGCGGCGACATTCAAGCTCGTCTTCCAATGGCTTCTGAAGAGGCTGTGCGACCAACAACGGAAAATCGATGTCTTGTGGGAGCTTTTCTCTGTGAGAGACGACTTGGTCGAGTCGAACGATACCAGGACGGGGCAGCAAAGTGCCCCTGTCGACAGCTCCCAAGTCTCGGCGCAACAACAGGAGGGTTCTTTGGGAGAGATTTCCTTCACCCTTTCGGAATCTATCGAGCAACCAGTTGCAAGCCATGGATCAGCAACCACGGGGCCGGACCTTGTGGCTCGGGGGCAGTGCATTCTCCTGCGAAATGTGGTACACAGCTTTCATGAAAGCCTGCAGGGATTGCAGAGCCAAGTCAGTAAGTGGGCACGCGCTCACCTTCTCGTGAATGCAGGAGTGTGTCGTATGGCTCCGCTGTCTCGTGCATGCAGCTTCGTGTGACGAATACGCGGATGGACAAGGCCTCCTTCCCGCAGCTAGAGGCGCCCAAACATGTGCGCCACAAGGATGTGCAGACGATGCCTGAGGACGAAGGCGAGGAGCCCCCGGATGCCGCACGGCTGCTTTCCAAACCGGTGTGGTGAGACATGACTTCGTGAAGGCCTCTAATGGCCGACTGAGCGACTTTCTCTTTGTATTCATCAGCCCTGGTCGCTGCCTCTTTTGAAGACCCTGGATATCTACTCAATCAACGAACGAGTCGGCGGAACTGCCTGCTTACATCGTCCTCTTGTTCTCTTGTTGGTCATTCTTCACCCTCATTCAGTTCACTGACATCCAGAAGGATCAGCACGAGATGTGTCGCGCCCTCACGGCGCACCAGCACACCATCTTCGAGCTGGCTGACCAGGCCAAGGACTACACTGAGACAAAAGACATGATCAAAAGGTCAGGCAGGCGACTCGCTCCATGTCCATGTCTCACTCCACATCAGCCGTATGCGCGGGTGTGCTCAGGCTGCAGGCGAGGCAGAATGCGACCGACGAGACAATCAAGGCCATGAAGGCAGAGATCAAGAGCTTCTCAGCTCTTCAGCAGAGGATCGAGGAGACACAGCTGGATGTGGTCGGGAGCCAAGAGAATTAGATTTGCCATGCATCGGTGGATGTATGCATAAAAGGGGGATTGGTGTACCTTCAGGCCAAGCTTCGATCGGAGCTCAGTGAGAGGAAAGAGGACCTTGAGCCGGTGGCAGAGAAAGCCACCAAACTGGCCAAGCAGCTCGACACAGTCCTTGATCGACTGCAGGTATGACTGTCTGCATGAAGAGCCGCTAGAGAGCTTTCCCACTTGTGCCGTTTGTCGGTCTTCACATACATACAGGATGTTGAGACTGACATCGTCAAGAAAGGAGACGTCAGCAACATGCAGAAGAAACTGGACCACCGGTAGGTAGTGGGCAGGAAGGCATGCAAGTCTCGCTCTATTCATGTGGTCCCTGTGACCCCCAACAGGATCTCTCGGTTCAAGACGGCGGCAGAGGAGACATTCGGTAGCTCTCAACCTTTGATTTGTCCGTTGATTGCTCAATTCTCTTTTGCCCGCAGGTCTTCTGGACAAGAAAGTGATAGAGCTGTACGAGTGCTTCTCCAACGCGTTTGGCGACACGACCACGCCCCTCATCCTTCAGAAGCCCGTCAAGACCCACCTGCACACAGACACCCCGCAGTCTGTCCGGACCCCATCTCCCCCAGACAGCGGCCGCATCACCGCCCATCGGCCGATCAGCGGTGGGGTGGATGTGAGAAGGTCGCCTGTGGACCCGACCCTAACAACGGTCTGTGCGTCCTGTCTCAGGTACACACATACAGGGAGTGCAGACGAAATCAGTGTGTTCTCGATGGCACATATGTGCCTAATTGTCTCAAACGGAAGGTCATTCGACCCCACACCCCTCCAGCCTTCTCCATCGATATGCAAGCCGCTTCCCAGCAACTTCGGTATCATAGCCACACCCAACTTCCTCCATCCGCCCAAGCGCGGCGAATCACAGAGGGGCACCTCCAGAAAACACGAAGGCAGGCGATAGTTTGTAGAGAGAACACATACAGGCACACCGACAACGAATGTTTGTGCTGTTGCAGATGATTCTGAGCAACCGAGTGAGACGGAGATGCTGCGACCCAAATCTCAGCCTGCAGGCATGTCGCCTCGATCTTTCCACCGCATTGCAACTCCTGACTTGCGATGCGGTGGAATGGCTGAATCGGGCGCCGAGAGCGATCAATCTATTCCCCTTGCGCCGCCTCCCCCACCCCCCTCCTCTCTTCCCCCACAGCCCCTCTCCCCTCCAAAGGCCCTTGCCGCAGCCTTCATCAATGAGAACCACTGTGCCAAGTCACCGAGGGCCTTACGAGCCAAACGGCCCAACAACCGAAAGGCGACGTGGCAAGGCAAGAAGGGCGGCATGCCTTCGGTGCCACCGAAGCATGGCAGCACGCTGGATGGACACCACGCCTCCTTTGAGATGTCGAGCCTTGAGCGGTCCATCGACACGTTCACAATCGACGGGTTTCACTCGTCTGACGGAAGGGGGGCAGCGAAGGGAGGGCCGAAGGGGAATGGAAAACGGAACAGATAGACATTGGGGGACGCGCATTATAGGACAATCCAATGTCCATCGGATATGAAGCTCCCTATGACAATCCAGGGATGGTCTCTAGAGTTTGAACTTGAACCTTCCCTGGAGACGCTTGAGACGCCGTCATGCTGGCCACCGCAGAATTGTAAACGATCTAGAAATTTCCCGAATTCGAAGGCCGGTTGTGCGTCAGCGCCATGAAGCTTTTCGCTTTTTTCATCGCTGTCGTCACGGTCTCCCTGCAACATGGTGAAGGCAGGCGCCAAAGGAAGGCCCAGTCGGCCAGGGTCCTCCAGGCCTCATACGACTACAACCAGCGCAGCACCAGCCTGGATGTCAAACACCGCATCCAAAAAATGTCCCTCGACGAGGCCCTTGCGGCCGTCGGCCACCTGATGCCCGCTGAGGTAGGAGGGAGATAATAGATCTACCACGTAGACGTCACCATTTGGTGTCCCTCTGTGTGTGTAGGTTCACGAGATCTTGGCCGAGAAGCTCAGCAAGCCCCTCCGCAAGAAAGCCGCAGCCCAGATCCGCCGCCAGGCAGCCAACCTGAAGGCGTCCGTCGATGGGGAGGCAGATCCAAGGCAGGAGAGCAAGGCCAACGTGCAGGGCAAGACCAACGTCGTGGTGGAGAAGGTGGGGAACACCCTCCCCTCCCGGCACTCACTGCTGCGCTCAGGCGACGTAGAGATCTTTGCTTATTCTTGCCCGTGTCGTGTCCCTGTCAGATCAACGAGATGGCTTTGGATACCATCAAAGATCTCGGTAAGTAAGGGAGCGGGCGGGAGAGAAAACACCGCCAACCATCAGATTGCGGCTGCTGGCTGCTGTTTTGACAGATCTGACCAAGATTGACTGCAAGGCCACCATGGACAGCCTCGATGAGGAGCTGCATCCTGCAGGTAGCCAGGACGCCCACATACACATGGCTTCCGTCCCGCCACCTGGCTCTCTGTGTTTGTTTGTGCAGGCTGACAACTCCCGGCTGGAGTCTGACCTCAACGACGACCAGTCAGAGCTGTTGCAGTGGACGGCCAAGAAGGACGAAGCCCTCCAAGCCATACAAAGCTTACAGGTAGACTTACTGCGTCTGTATGGAGCTCCTCTTATTTTCCTGTCTCTCTTCTGTGCAGGATCAACTGGAAGAGCACAACAAGGAGTGTGATCGCGAGATAGCGTCGACGGAGGACCTGCACACCATCATAGAGGGCGACTACAACGTGTCGAGCAAGGTGGTGGCCAAGACCGACTGCGCCAAGGCCCTCGATGTGGATGTGGGCAAGGCCTTCATCGACCTGCAGCGCAGGGGCTGGCAGCTGGACATGCCGGGCACGACGAAGGAGAGCTTTATCCAGACACAGACCCTCCATCACAGCGGCGCCACCAAGCAGACACAGTCACCAGTGTTGCTGCAGTGCATCAAACCCAACGGATACATGTTCATGTGAGCAGCGCACATCCACCAAGGACGCACCGACACGTGTGCACTTCTGCCACCTTTTCTTCTTTCAGGACTTTCCAGAACCCACGGATCTCCCAGGCGTTGGTCAAGCTGTCCAGCAAGCGCCGCGAGAAGGTCAACGCGGCTCTTCTACAGGTGAGGGAACACACACACACACACAACAGACACAGACACAGACACAGAGAGAGAGAGAGAGAGATCGCCTTCTACAACACAAAACATGATCCTGTTTTGTGTCCTCTTTCCAGCTCTCGCAGGAGCGGCAGGACCCCATGGTTAACGGCACCATGTCCCTCAGCAACGGCACCATTGGTGTGGACGAACCCGACACGCCCGCACAGACAGAGGTTCCCGAAGAGATGGCCGACGCTAAGTGCACCATAGCCAACAGCCCCTCTGCCCCAAGTTCAACGACATCCTCTCCGGCCTCGTCGCCGACATCTATGCGGAAAAAATGACCGTCGAGGGGTGAGAGAGTACCACACACAAAACGGGTGGGTGCTTGGTTGCACGTGAGTTTCACTTCATGTGTGGATATATGCAGTTATCTGGAGGAGCTTGTTCGGAATTGCACTGAGATCCGCGAGAACATCCAGATGGACATCGACAGCTGGCAGCGCACCCTGGCCCTCGCCAACACACGCATCGGTCAGCTCGATGCGCGGATAGAGGAGATCAACACCGACCTGGAGGAAGTGCGAAAGTGAGATCTGCCCGCCTCATCCCTACGTATGTCTGTGTCCTAAGTGCCGTGTCTCTGTCATTGCAGGACTCAGGGGCTCAAACAAGATGCCCTTGACAAGAAGAAGGCCGAATGCGATACTGCCATCGAGGAAGGTGACTGACAGACAGACAGACAGACACTACCGAGAGACGCGTTGAGGACGAACTCTCCTGATGTGTCTGTGCATACGTTGCAGCGACCACTGCCATATGTGGGATCGGCAAAATCAAGGGTGACTTGGCCAAGATGTCCGGCACTCCAGATATCATCGAGGTCAGAGGGAACAACAACCAAACCACAGAATGCCCTTCTGCCGTCCCATACTTGTCTGTGCCTCGTCGTGGTTCAGGACTGCGAGGTCAGCGATTGGGAGTATGGCGTGTGCAGCAAGGAGTGCGGCCCTCAGGGCGGCCTCCAGAATCTCACACGACAAGTCATCACCCAGCCCACCCCCGGGTACGGCACGCCCTGCCCGGCGCTCGAGGCTGAGATGGTCTGCAACAAGCACCCATGCCCCATTGACTGTCAAGAAGGATCATGGTCCGAGTTCACGAGATGCTCGGCCGAGTGCGGCAACGGAGACCAATACAAGTGACTAAGACTGACAAGGCCTGAAGAGGGGAGACACGGTGGCTCCATCTGTCTGTCCGCGTGTGTCGTGTCGTGTCGTGTCAGGTTCCGTGACATAATTCGAGAGCCCCGCTACAACGGTCGCCCGTGTGATGCGCGCATGGTGGTCAAGCAGTGTCAGGTGACTCACACAAACAGACAGACAGACAGGCAGAGAGTGTGCGAGCGAACGCATCGATCAATCGTTTGCCTGTGTCTGGCCAGCGCGACCCGTGTGACAAGGACTGTGTGCTCAGCGAGTGGACTGAGTACAACGCATGCGACGTGGCGTGTGGTGGCGGCTTCCACGAGAGGCGCAGGAACGTCCTGGAGCCTCCTACTGGCCAAGGGTACTGCCCGCCGGCAGAGGATGTCAGACGGTGAGCTCTCGGGCGCAGGCAAAAGGGAAATGGGGTTTGTGGACGGGTGTCTCGTATGTCTGTGTGTCAGTCACGAAGAAAAGACGTGCAACGAGCAGCCATGTCCCGCGGAGCGCCCCGTGTGCGAAACCAAAGCTGACGTGGTCCTCATTCTCGATGGTTCTGGGTACGTCAAGACAGCAGGCACCCCCCACACACAATGTTTCCACTAATGCGTGCCTCTCTGTGTCCAGATCGATGAGTGAGGAGCAGTTTGGCAAGATCAAGACCTTCGCCAAGCGACTGGTGCTGCAGACCAAGCTCAATTCGACCACCAACGCGCAGATCGGCATCGTCCTCTTCTCCCACTGGAGCGAAATCCTGTCAAGGATGACCGACGACAAAGAGAAACTAATCAAGAAGATCGACGCACTCAAGTGGCCGGGAGACGAGGCGTGTCTCGCATCGGCGGCATTCCATGCCAAGCGGGTGCTCCAAAACGGGGTACGTAAGTGGGGCGTGGAGAAGTGGGGGGGCCCTGCACAAGGGGGACAGGACACAGCTGGCAATGCATGCATGTGATGTGTCATTCATTGATCAGGGTCGCGAGGACGCTGCCAGCATTGTGCATCTGATCACTGACGGCAAGCCATCAGGGCCCATCCTCACGTCAGCAGAGATCGACTACTACACTAAGATGGGCATGTAAGCACAAAGACACACGCTGGCAGAGAGACCCATAGTTCCCTCCCTTCACCGTCCATCGATGGGGTGACCTCTCTCTGCAGGTACTTCATGGTGCCGCCGATGCTGACGGGCTTCGAGCAGGAGTGGACGTATGAGTCCAAGGCGGCACACGAACTCATGTAAGAAGAATTGTCCTACCCACAGCCATTCTCTTCCAATCGTATGTATGTGTGTGTTTTTGAAGGGACTTCGCCATACTAAACATGATACTGATTGGCGGCGACACCGATTCGCTGGACTACTACATGCCCCTCAACCACGACCTCTTCCGCCTGGAGGAATTTGACGAGCTCGATGACGTGCGTAAACGGCCACATGAGCCACACAGCCGTGTTGCATTCTGTCTGGTGGTCTGTCTGTGTTTGTCGTCAGTTTGTTGACGACTGTGTGATCATGACCTGCCCGGAAATCGCCAACCTGACGCCACTAGATCCCACTGCCTCGACCGTCGATCGCACAACCACGTAAGGCCAAATACTGACACGGACCTCTCTGCATCTAGATCTGCATGGAATGGATGTGTGTGTTGTTCTTGTCAGCATTACGAGTGGCAGCACGTTCCTGGCGCACAAGGCCACGGTAGTCAACGGCGCCACGGGCAAGGCCTTCTACCTCTCCAAGAGCAAGTACCGGCACTACAAGAGAAGATACTGGGGCAAGGTCCAACGCTTCAACTAGAGAGGGGGCTTTCTGGAGGGAGGGAGGGAGGGAGGGAGGGAGGGGGGGAGGGTGGAGGGGAGGACGGAGACACGCGCTTGTGTAGATAGATCGCTGGTAAGCTAGGAAGTGTCCCACGTGTGTGTCTGAAACTATCGTTGCCTCTGCATACGTGGCGCGGGTAGCATCATGAAGGGTGGCCGTTCAGACGGGATGCATGTGACTTGAGTGAATGCCATTTGAATCGCATCGCATCAACACTGAAATCAATGCATGGTTCAAAGGAAAGCACGTCTGCCGTCTGTGTGCACATGCATCGCATCCACAGACTCGATCGTCAGATCGGTCGCGTCTCTTCCTTGCGTCTGTTTGTCACGTTGAGTGTCTGATCTCGCAGGCGTCGCAATCCCAGGCTCACCATGCCTCAGCGATCCCGGTAGAGACGAGAGCGAGAGATGACACCCAACGCATCAAACAGTCGAAGGACACCAGGCAAGCCGGCAGGCAAATCCATCTAGGCACGATTGATGGCACACACGACAGGGCTTTCCTAGCTACGGGTGTCCTCGACAGGTGGCTGTCAGTCAGAGCAGAGAGAGGGCCAACAGCGGCCAGGCTACTTAGTGTCGCGTCGAATTGTATGCACACGGCGCACTCTCAGGCCAGCTGAGCTATCTATCTATGTATACGAGAGAGAGAGGGAGAGGATTATACACGCTCGCCGGCAGGTATACCGGCTGGCTGGCTGCCTCTCGGCCGCCGATCTTCAGTCAAACGCGACAATATCGTCGACGGAGTCCTCCAGCCGCTGCGATTTTCTGCACGGCTTGGGCAGCGGGTTGAGGCCCGAGCAGGCTATCAAGGCACCGTCGCAGTTCTTGTGGCCACACTGTACGATGGACGAAACACACAGCACACCAGTCAGGGGGAGAGCAGTGCAGACATCGCGCTGCGTGTCCGGTAGGTAGGTAGTACACGTGATTGTGTGCCGACTGGGCGGGCGGACCTTGATGCAAGCTGATGCACAGCTGTTGAAGAGGCAGGGCCATTCACACTTGCTGGCGCCGCACGCGATGGATTCTGCCCAACACTCAGAACAGCCAGGGGATACCTGCACACACACACAGAGGTAGGTATATAGAAGACCTATGGCTGTCGGCTCGGCTCGGCTGTAGTACAGTACCCACCCCCCCTGGCTGGCTCTCTCACCGTCTTGCCATTGAAGGTCGCTTTATTCAGACAGTCGCGGGACTTGTCCCGTGATCCGTACGCTGCACAGATCAGCACACACAAGAGAGGATCCGATCCGTGCTGGAGATCTTTGTCTATCTGTCGTTGCCTGTGCTGTGCCTATCTTACTGCTTCGCCCGCAGCTGAAGACATGCGGGAACCATGCCTTGTCGAACACGATTGCCCTGTCACTCTCGTTGTCGCACTGGCCCGCTGGAGCGGCCCTCGCCTTCCCTCCCTTGACCGCCGCCTGCACGGCGCTGTCTGGCTGGTTCGGCGGTGATGCGGCCACGATGATGACTGAAACCAAGACAAGCTGGACAGTCCACCACGAGGCAGCCATCGCAGGTGCAGGAAAGATCGCCGCAAAAGATCGTCGCACCAGCGGTTTCATGGGCTTTCATGGAGCGCCCTAAGATCACTAATTTGCGAGCTCAGGAAAGGAAGTCCCCACGCTGCTTTGTGGATAATTTCATGCTCCCTGTTGATATTTGTGATGGTTCCGTCGCTCAAGCATGAGATCTTCGCCTTCAGCAAGCAACTCAAGACCACGCACTCTGTCGGCGGTCTTCTGGCCATGCTCAGCAGATCCAAGCCCCCCATTTCGTCCTTCGATGCGCATGCTCTTTCTATGACACTCAGCAAGGCGGCCTTCCTCTGCAATGGCAACGCATCCGCTGTCCGCCTGATGCAGCCATTCATGGACAACCTCAAGCAACGGACGGCACAAGTCATCTGCCATGCAGATGCACCCACGGACTCAACATCAACGTCGCCTCTCAACCGGGTTGATACGGCTTTCCTCACGAGCGTCGTGTGGGCGCTCAGTAAGCTGGACCAACTCCATGCCGAAGACCCGCTGACCCAGCAGCTGGCTTCATTGATTGAGGAGCGCCTCGCGTCGGGTGGCGAGACGATTGAGTCGCGGAATATCAGTAATGTGGTGTACGCATTCGGCCGAGCGCGGATCTGCCCGTCAAGGCTGTTCGATTCGTGCGCCAGGAGGATGGAGGGGCAGCTGGCGACCTTTACAGCTCAGGGGCTGGCCAACACGGTATGGGGCTTTGCGAGACTCAAGTATTCATCCGACGCAGTGCAGGGTCTGCTGCATGCCGTCGTGGAGAGGCTGGAGTGGCTGCCCACAAAGGCAATCGAGGAGTTCACGCCGCAGAACCTATCAAACATCGCGTGGGGGCTGGCGGTGCTCAACTACAACGACAAAGGTCATCGCTTCATCTGCATCATATCCGCCTTGATGCTGCCCAAGCTGTCCATCTTTTCGCCGCAGCACATGTGCAACTTGCTGTGGGGCATCGTGACGCTCGGCGCTGGGAACACGGCGGACGAGCCGTATCTGAGTGAGGAACTGGCCACTGTCGTTGCCATTGCGGAGGAGGCCCGCTACCAGCTGAACCATTTCCACGAACAGCACCTCGGCAACATCATCTGGGGCGTATCGACCTTCCTCAGCAACCTGTCAGCCACACTTTATCTCTCACCGGACGGCAAGGCGCCCTTCACCGAGTCGATTGAGCAGCTGGTGTCGTTTCTGCGTGTTGGCCGTGACGAGGTGCTGCGTCGGGCTCCTGCGGCCTTTCCGACCATCAGTCTGCACGCCACGGCCATTTCTCTCGCCAGACCGCCATTCAAAAGGCTCTTAGGGCAACCAGATGAGGTCGACTATCACGTTTTGCAGCTCGTGGCTGAAGGCTTCATGAAGCGAGAGGAACACGCGTCAATTGAGGAGCGGGTATCTGACATCGTTGCCGCAGCAGAGAGCCCAAGAGAGGCCGAGGAGCACCCTGCTGTGTTGCGCGAGACGGCACACGCGTTGGTCGTGTACAAGCCACCTTACTGGAGTGCTAATCCACCCTTTCTCGACCCAGTTGACGAGCAGCTGACCAGCGTCGAGGGGCAGAATCATGTCGCGAGGGTCTCTGGCGAGACCCAGCAAACGGTGGGGGAGGGGGAGGGTGAGGGTAATGTGGTGGACAGCGACGAGCCGCCAGCGAGGTCCAGAGGAGGTCGTCTGCATTTGTATCTTCGCGACACGATGCCCCACCTGCATGCCTCGCTGTGGAACCCGCGCATCCAGTGTGGCTTCCTCAATCGATTGGACCAAGAAGTGTCGGGTAGGCTAGACGCAGGCAGATAGCAGCTGATGTGCTCAACACGTGTGTGTGCACATTTGTGTGTTCAGGTCCAGTGTTGATTGCCAATGGCGGCCTGGCATGGGAAATGCTCAGACTGACATTCGACGCGCGACTCGTCAAGAGGTACAGACACACACGTTCATCACATCAAGCCAAGCTGCACTCATTTCTGTGTTGCATGAAATGAATGCAGGGAGTATGTGGCACTGTGTCACGGTAAGGCCCCTCTCGGCCCTCTCCCCCTTATCACTGCCCCGCTGCGGTCCGAGCAATTGAGAGGGCCTAAAGGGGGCACCCAAAACATCACGTCAGTGTCTGCCCAGGGGGACCATGCAGTCACGCAGGCCGAGTGCACCGGGCACTTCTGCAGGCTGCCCGGTGTGTCTGGCGATGACGCTGTTGCTGTCATGAGCCTCATGCGCGTCAAGATATGGACAGGTGAGTGAGTCAGTGGGACACATGGAATGAATGCCTCACTGGAATGCGGGCATCAAGCGCCCGTCCTTCTGTTTTGTGCAGGTCGCACCCACCAGATAAGGGTGCATCTGCGGCACATTGGCCATCCCATTGTGTGCGATAACAAGTATCTGGAGCCAGACAGATGCGCCAAAGACCAACAGTGGTGAGTACGTAAGGCAACACAGACATCTACCTGTATATCGCCGCACTCTCATTTGCCCGCCTCTCTGTCTGTCTGTCTGTCTGTCTGTCTGTGCCATGTACATGTATCTGTCACAGGTGTCCGCGCATCTTTCTGCACGCCGAGAGGCTGTCTTACGTCGACCTGACCAAGCTGATCGATGCAGAGAGAGGCGGGCAGGGCGATGCTGTGTTGGCCTCAGCCGAGAGGATGTCAGAGTTCTGTGGGGACCCACACAACACCGTCGATCTGTCCTGTCCGCTGTCTAAGGACCTCCAAGACGTGCTGGACAAGCTGCAGAGAGCTGTGTGTGAGTGACGGCATGTAGGGGAGCCGGGCGGCCGGGAGCCCACTGCCATGGTGTAGATGAGTATTGCATGTGTGTGGGTGGGTGGAATTCTTGTCCATATGCTCATCAACGTGGGGCACGTCAGCAAACTTGGCCGGATCCTGGCTCTTCTCCGGAAACCCTTCAAACCCGGCTTGCGCTTTCAAGGGCGTCAATGACCCCCAGACCCCGCCGGGCACCGGCGACACATCGCTGTATCGTGAGGACAAGACAGTGATGGTGGCGATATACATGGGCGAGATCGCCAACAGGTATGTATGTATCTATGGAAGGCAGACAGACAGGCAGACAGACAGACAGAGACACGAGAACGGTCTGTCGGATGGGGTGGGTGCTGTGCTGTGTGCAGGCGCTTGGCTGACCTTCCCATGCCCTCCCGCGTCCGCAAGCTGACAGGACAGAGGTGGACGCTCCATGACTGCGCGCGAGGCTCTGACGCGAGATGGCTTGTGGACCGACATCTACCGACACCCAAGCGCGACAGTTGCTTAAGCCAGTCTACGGCAGAAGGGCATGGCACTGGGAGTGGCCAAGGTGGACTTCCAGCCGCACTAAGTGGCGGCAGGCACGGCACAACCAGCCAGCCCAGCCGACACACAAAAGGCGGCCACCCAGTAGATGAATGCATGCATGTGTGCATGTCATGTGGGTGACGTGATGAAGTAGCTGTGGGGCGACAGGAGGGAGGCGGGTAATCGATCAATGATCCATGGATGGCATGAATGGAATATATTGAACATCTATGTACATTGATTGAGCCGAAAGTCACAGACAGACGTTCGAGCACCGACCGACACAGATAGATAGATGGAATCGACGTGCGTACAAAGCGTACAAATCCAACAACACACATACGCACCGCATGGATGCATGGATCCTTCTACCTAGCTAGTCCCAATACGCTCTCCGAAACTCACTCCTGCGACAAATCGCCAGCCGGGACATAGCCCAGTTGTGCCTGTATGGCACGTCCACCCCCCCACCCACCTCTGTGTAGGCACTCTGCTCGCGCTCGACTCACAGGTCTCCGCGCCAGTCGGGTGCTGTCTGCAAAAGTGTCCTCGCGACGCATCCACACTCTTGCCTGCATCCATGGCCACACACAAGACGCAGAGAGAGGCTGAAGGGCTGCTCCTCCCCCCCACCCACCACCTACCCAGGAGCCCCCTATCGTGCTGGATTGCCCGTGTGAACACCGACTCCCCCGTGCCGATGAAGGTGTGTGCCCGTGCAGCGATCCACTGCTCCACGATGGCGTTGTAGCCAGGGTGGCCCAGGTCGGTCTCGAAGAAGACCATACTGCCCGCCGGCATCAGCTGACGCAGTTCCACCCTCTCGTCAGCCGTCGCATCCGTACACACAAATGTCTGATCGAATGAATCAACACACGTACGTAGAGGAGAGAGGTGTAAGTGACAGCTTGTGTGAAGCGCGTGACGTGATACCTTGGTGACGTTTGTGGTCGCCATCAGCGCCTTGAGCCGCCGAGCCTGATGGACGGACGATGCACACCGCCCGTGCACATCAACAGATAAAGGGATGGATGCTCCCTGTCCAGTCACCCACCACGTCGGGCAGAGGCGGAGCGAACTCGGCACGATATCGCGCAAAGTCGCCCCGACGCACATGGGCCGCGAGATACCCCCCAGGTGGCAGGTTGGCAGCGATAAAGGCATCACCCAGATCACGCCACTTGCTGCACGCAGAGAGGTGATAATCACCTGTCCCTGGGCATTTTGCGATGGCCGTCCACCCACCGGTTGAACAGGAGAACATCGTAGAGGTCTGTCTCGACGAGGGTGGGAGGGAAGGGCACCATCAGGTTGTCTGCACGCTGACAAACAAATCCAACACAGTGAGCATCAGCACCCTGGTCTCGTACGTTTCCACCTTCAGGAGTATGCTACTCGCCTCTGAGAATGCCGGCTCCTCAACGATCGTCTCTGCCACGTCCTCAGCGGTCGGCCCGTGAGCGTACAGATAACACCTCTGAATGAACAGACAGACAGAAAGACAAGCAGTAACCGCAAGTCTCTCTCTTTGTCTCTCTGTCTCTCTCACCGCGTCGCGCGCGTTGACGATGTCACATTTGCCTGAGTAGCCTGCACGCAGCATTCAAAAGGCGCTGGTGAAAAGTGGGCGTGCAGGTTCATCTGGCGGCCGTGCACGACCCACCGACTTGATGTGGGTGAGAGCATGAAGACTCTCCGTCAGCACAATGGTGACGGTAATTAACAGAGCGGCCACCACCTGACGAATCGCACACAGATAGGCAAGCCACTGGAATGGACTTTTATGTCGGTGTGTGTGCCCACCTTCACATTTGGTGAAGTCTTGCATCTGCAGTCTGTTCTGGTCCTTGTCGAATGACGCATCGGGGAAGAAGCCCTTCCATTGGCCCCACAACAGCGTATCGACCTGCACACACAGACACACAGACACACAGACACATATGCTTGATGGCTCTACAGTCTGGCGAGTGGGTGGTTTGCTCTGACCTCGAGCATCCCGTCATTGGCCGTCTCGATGTATTCGTCCCACTCCATCACCGGCACAACAGACCGCATCACTGCACACACACAACAAATCACACAATCGTAATTAAGCCAGCACCCACAGCAGACCTACCTTGCATGTCGAAGAAGGCCCCCCACGGCAACCGCGGGCGGTCGTCAGTCGGTGCCCTCCAGTGAACCACATGGCACCAGGGCGGCAGCACCAGCACCCACATCTCATGACACGATCGGCCGCCGCCGCACCGCTGCCATGTGTGCTGGTTGAGCCTATGGACCACCAGAGCGGCACGGTAAAAGACATCCTTCTGCAGCTGCACAAGGGAGGAAAGCACTCATTTCATTCACTGCCTGCACTGCAGAGGGGTTCTCTCTGCTCTGTCTGCCTTCCTTGTTACATACATTGAATCCTTCCCCTATCTTGACATCGTACAGCAGGAACCGCAGGGCGCCATGGCACCTCAACCCGCCAGGCAGCAAGATCCCATTCAGTGCAGCAAGTTGCTCATGATGTGTTTGGTCTTCACGGGGCTCCTTCCTGCGGCCCTTGACGAGCTTGTAGAGGGCGTCAGCATCGATAAAGAGGCTCCGGCACACCGGAGATGGGTGATCTTCGAAGGCATTGCTTGGCCTTGAGCCCGTACACACGATAAGAATGAGTAGCAGGGTGTGCACTGCGCGTATTCGCATGAGGCGGTGCAGCGCCAAGATCTGCCATCTGCGAGCTTAGCTGAAAGGATTGCGTTGGTGAAGCGGATCTCGTGCCACTCACCATCTTCCAGCCCTCGTGATAGCCGCTGCTTCAACACACGCCAAAACATGCAGCTTTCACGAATGTGTGTTGGCTTTGTCTTCCTTCTGCTGGTGTGCTTCCCACGATGCAAAGGCGACGTAGGCATACTCACCTTCTACTTCGGTAAGTAAGCAGCACAGGAGCACACCCCTCACTCACCTCATCTTATCATTTGATCCCTTCCCTCCACTTCAGGTGAGCTGGAGGCGCTGAATGCGACTTTGTCAAGGTCTTCGGATCTGCAAGTGTATGAGATCGCGGGCAGGAGGTTCTACAGCGGGCTGCTGGAGGGCCAGAAGATAGTGGCCACACTCACGGGCATCGGCCTGGTCAACGCTGCAATGACCGCAAGTGAGTCGGGTGGGTAGACATGCGAGGCGGGTCAACAGGAATGCTGTGGACACGTACTTATGCACTCTCTGTATGTGGTCTGCGTGCACTGCAGCCATTATGATTCAGCACTTTCCGACGCTCGATGTGATCGTGGGCAGTGGAATATCGGGAGGGGTGGACCCGTCCCTGCGAGTGGGCGACGTCATTGTACCAGATTCATGGATCTTCAACGAAATGGTGTGGATAGACCGCTCAGCCGTATGCACTCGCATCATCTGCATGGCCTCTTGGGCTGTCAGTTCCACTACGCGAAGACTGCCGAGCCATTGCCCAATAACACCACCCGAGACCCCTCCCTGGAGGCCGATGCTGACTTCGTGTTGCCCGACTGGCGCCTCTCACTGCCGTGCGTCGACGGGTGCTTCCTCGCCACAAAAGGTCCCTGCACCCTTACCATACACCCTTATGGATGTATGTATACCCACAGAGGAATGAGTAATCAGCGACTCATTGTCTGCAGGTGTCCCATGTTTGTCGCCTGGTGTAAACCACACCGCTGGTGTGGGCTACAATGGACCTACTGCTGAGGCCGAGGCCAGCAATGGGTGTGCTGCCGGGGACGTCGGAGGGGGAGGGGGAAAACAGCACGCGAACTTCGGGAAGGTGGAGAGCAACTACATCCAATCACGAAGCATCCCGCCCCTTTTCGGCGGTCATTGTGCCCGTCAGGATGCGTCATTTGATCACGGTGCAGACTGCAGACCTTTACAGCCCATCAGAGGAAGATGACACGATCGAAACTCCCAACCAGGTCCTCGATTTCCCCGTCGATCCCGCCCTCCTGGAGCTTGCTAAGGGCCTCAACGCCACTGCAGGCCCGAGGCTTGCTGAGCTGAATGGAGGGGATGGTGGGCTGCCGTACCTTCCACACGTGGTGGTCGGTGGCAGGGGCGCGTCCGCTGACACATTTCTCGATAACGCCGCGTACCGCAAGTGGCAATTTCAGAACCTTGACATCAGGTGGGCGGGACGGGGGCAAGACGAACGGCGCAAATGGCGCTCATTTCTCGCCGGTTCAGGTCGATTGACATGGAGAGCACGGCGGTTGCGCATGTGGCCTACCAGGGCCAAAAGCCTTTCATCATATTCCGGAGCCTCTTGGCCGGCGGAGAGGCCGAGGCAGAGACAGAGTCCGAACAGGAGAACCTTCTCGGCGCCTTCTTCGGCGTCGCCGCGGCCAACGGCGCAGCCGTCATGGAGACTTTCATCAAGCTGCTCTCGGACAATGGCACAATTGTGTCCAACAGCGAACCAGCCGATGCGCCACTGGAGCCGGCCCCTGCCGGCCACATCCCCAGTGACGTGTTCAATGACGAGGAATTGGAGGAGTTGGTGGGCATCATCACTTTCTACCAGCCTGAGCTGGACGCCGTCATGTCCTACAACAACGACACAAATTTTACGAGAGTGGGACCGATACAGGTGGGGTGGGGCGGGGCGGGGAGAGAGCCGAAGAGAGAGAGAGAAAGAGAGAAAAAGAGAGAGGCTTGCAGCGCGGCATCACTATGCCGTGTGTGTGTGTGTGTGTGTCTCGCAGGGTCGCATTTTTTATGTTGGCCGTCTGGAGGAGGTCCCTGTCGTCCTTACACTCAGTGGCGTTGGCCTCACCAACGCTGCACAAGTAAGAATTGGCAAAGACTGCATATCTGCCTGTGGTTGAGTGAACGTCTGTCTGTCTGCCTGTCTGTGTCAGACGACCCAACTGCTCATCAGCGAGTTTGGCGTCAAGTACATCCTTGGCAGCGGCATCGGTGGGTCGTTGTCGGAGAAGGTCTTCATCGGCGATGTTGTCATCCCAGACAGATGGGCTCAATATCAGATGAGCCACCAGGCCAGAGAGGATGCACAAGGCAACTACTCCCTCCCCGAGTGGGCAAACAAATGGCTGGTCAGCTCACCAAACAGAAGGATCATATGGCGGGGCAGAGAGTCCTTGGAACACCGGCGTGTCTTGTGTGTCTGGTGTGTGGACGGTGCAGGTGCGTGCTGGTGGGTCTGAGTGTCTTGTGAATGATACGCTCGTGTGTGAGTTGGCCAACGACACGGCGAATTACTTCTCCGACTTCACTACGCTTATTGAGGTGGCAGATCCCGACGCAGCTGACGACACGCGCTACCTCGAGGTGGGCGGCCGCCGGCTCTTCGACATTGAGGTCGACCCCATAATGTTTAGAGTGGCGGCACAGCTCACCTCCACTGCGCCAGGGTACGGCTCATTCGGCAAGTTCATTGACCTGAATCCCGTTGGCAGGGGGCGGCCTGAGATTCAGCACGGCGGGAGGGGCCTCGCGGGCAACTCCTTCATCGACAACGCTCACTATCGCACGTAAGTTAAGTGGTCATGTCAGCCACACACGACAGACACACGACACACGGAGAGGTCGCGTTTCTTGCTACGGCCTAGGTACATGCACGAGACCTTTGAGAGCGACATCGTCGACATGGAGTCGTCGGCCACGGCTGCAGTGGCCCACCAGAACGCTATTCCGTTCCTGATTGTGAGGTCTGCATCGGACCTCGCGGGCGGTAGTGAGGATGGGGACGACAAGTCGGCCGTCAGCGACCTCATGGAGTTCCTCGATGTGGCTGCCGACAACAGTGCGATGGTCATTGCTGCGTTCCTGCAGGAGTGGCGGAGGAGAGACGATTGATGGATGGATGGATGGATGGTGTGTGAACACGTGTGTATGCGTGTGTGTGTGTGTGTGGTGTCCTATTATGTCTACTGCTCTGAGAGCCAGGTGCATTTGGGCATGTGTGGTGGTGAGATGGCGGCTTTATGCCGTTGAGTGCATTCATGCCTTGGCGCTGCGTTTGGGGTCGAGCTGCAGATGCGAGAGGCCTTTTTGCCGCGCTGCTCGAGTGAGACCACTTTGCAGATCGGTCGGTCGATCGATCGGTCGGTCGTAGTGTATGTGTGTCGGTGTGTCTTGCGTGTTCCAGAGCCCTTATTGATACATACAGTACAGGGGTGCATGTGCACATGCAGATGTGCGGCAGCGTCGTGGACCGTAGTTCCGTTGTGGGCTGCTGCCTAACGATGCTTGCATGTAATGGGCATACTCGTATACCTACCGACATCTTGGCCATCAAAATCGCCGCAGGATTGGCCAAGATGCTTGCCACCTTGCCGTGGGTCCACTTTCAAGCGGCACCCCAATCATACAACTGCTGGCCGGCGCGACCATCGTAACCCAGTGCCAGACCGATTCTGTCTGACGGGTCACTAACCGCCGATCGTTTTCTGAGCGACTGTGGCCTCGCTGCGGCCAGCCAAGAACACCAGCAAGGTCTCCTCGTCCCGCACGACACGGTGAGGGGTCAATCAAGAAGGAAAATGACAGTCAAACGCACTCAAACTCTCACTCTCTGTCTGCCTCATATACGTGTGCAGATCTAAGTTAAGTTCTGCAGATCTCTCTGACGTTGGCTGAAGTTTCTTCAGAACGCACAGCCATGAGCGGGACGGCGTGTGTGAGCCCGTCTGGCATCGGTCCCCTGCAAAATCGGCAGCGCCGCGAGGCTCGCGTGGACAGCGTCATCCCTGTGATGGTGGCGCGCCCAGGGCACTACAGCCAGGGCACGGTCGTCAAAGCCGTCACCAACCTGCTGCCAGGTCAGCCAACGGCAGAGAAAAACACGTGTGCAGCAAGAGGGCCGGATGTGGTGCGGTGCGGTTGGTTTCTCTCTTGCCTTGCGTGTGCGCTTCCAGTTCGTGTGACACTGACAGATGACAAGCAGGCGCCCCGTCAGCTCAGTGTCTACTCTATCAAGTGAGCGAGCGAGCCACACACCACACAGACGAGCACATGCCATGCCACACGTCCGTCCGTCCATGCCGTGCAGGTTCACCCCCGAGCTGCCGGGCAACCTGTCCCAGCAGACGCGCATCGTGGGCCAGATGAAGGCGGAGCTCATCAACCGCCTCTTCATGGGCCAGCGCACAACACCCATATTCACCGGCATGACCATCCTCACCGTGGCACCAACGTGCATCCAAGGCGAACCTGACGAAGCTGTGGAGTTTACGGCTTCGGTCGTGGTGGGGCGTGACCCGGACGGGTGTGAGGTGCGGCGGGAGTACACAGTGGTCATCGAATGGAAGGCGACATTCCCGCTGGACCCTGCCGGCATCGAGGGGCTGGACAGGAGGTCTCTCGTCAAGGCCAAAATGCACAACGCACTGGTGGGTGGGTACAATGGATGTGTGTGTGGTCAATCAAAGCAAAAAGGGTGTGGTGTGGATTGGTATGTTGTGTTGTGTGTATTGATGTGTGTGTAGTCTCTGTATGTGGACAACGCTGTTCGTCACGCCATCAGGGGCAAAATGAGGACCTGGGCACAATTCCGCGACGCGTTCTACAAGTACAAACAGAGACGCTTGGAATGCATGGAACGCATGGAATGGAATGGAATCCATGTGATGTGACTGACACATGCTCAACCAGCCCCCTGTGTTGTGTGTTGTGTGTTGTGTGTTGTCTATTAGCGTGCATCCGGGCGAGCTGCTGCAAGTGTACAAGCGCTACTCACTCGCCAAGGGCTTCAGGTAGGTCACCCCACGTGGTCTGTTCCGCGTACTTGATCTTCGTCTGTCTGTGTCGGTGCCGGACCCACCCCCCAATGCACCCACCCGTCCCTCAGCACTGCCACTGTCGACACGGAGCCCCACGGTCCGCATGTGGCCATTGGTGTGCGGCACCTGCTGCTCGAGGGCCGTGCGGCTGACATCCTCCTCAACATACAAGGCCGCACTCAGGGCACCGGCCAAGACAAACAAGACGCTGTCAAGCTGGCCCTTCATGGACGGTCAGTGAGTGGCGGAGGCGGACGGGAGGGGGCTGCGGGATCTGGATGCATGGAGATTGATGGATCATCGTTGTTGATGTTTGTGTGCTGCGCTACAGGACGTGTGTGACGCCGATCACTGGCATCAAGTACACGATAGACGACGTTGACTACTTGACCACTCCTGACCACACCTTCACGGACAGCAAGGGACAAGTGGTCACCTATAGACAGGTGAGGTGGGCGGGGGGAGAGGATATAGAAAGGGACAAAGGGACACACAACACCTCCCCTCCCCACTCACCTCACCCCATCGATGATTTGATTTATGTATGTGGCATGCACTGCAGTACTTTCTGGATCGTTATGCTCAGGAGGGCGTCGTAGACTATCCGGCCGGCCGTGACTATCCGATGCTGGTGGGTAGGTGGATGCATTTAGCGCTCACATTCACAGATGCAGAGAAAGATCACCAGCCAGCCACACACGACATACATACCTGTATGCCTTGTCTTCAGGTGTGCATCCGGCGAGGCAGGGAGGTGCGCATACCGCCGCCCCTAGGTAGGTCCACCCAACCACACCCACACACACCCATACACACACACAACGAGACACCGACCGACACAGATGATGGATGCGTCTTGTGTGTGGGTGCAGCCTACATGACGGGCATATCGAAGCGCGAGGGTCAGGAGCTGAATCAGGTGCGGCAGGAGCTCACCAACAGGACCCGCATGAACGCCGCCCGCCGCGTGGCCGAAACCCAGCAGCGTGTCCAAGCACTCATCGGCACCAACAACAGCCCATCCACACAGGCCGCCATTGCCGACAGCGGCATCGAATTCCGCGGCGAGTTCCTTCAAGTGAGCTGAGCTACCTCTGCCCAGACCACCACCACCACCCAGGGAGACCTCACGAGTCTGTCTGTCTTATGTGGGTGTGCAGGTGGAGGGCCGGGAGCTCAGCAAGGACTTGTTTGCGTCCCGGATGAGCGTCGGCAACCTCCCCGAGGACGCGTCACCTAGTGACCCGGTGGAGGGCCACCGCATCAGTTCGGCCCTGAAGTTTCGCGTGGACAGCGCGCCCCAGGCCGTGGTGGAGATCTTCATCGTGCACCAGCAGGGAGAGAAAGAGAAGAAGGAAGTCGATGCCCTCACGACAGCACTCACCACACAGATGAATGAGTGAGTGAGCGAACGAACGAAACACAACACGTCCCATCCCACCTACTCGTGTGTGTGTGTGTGCGTGTTGGTACAGGTACGGTCTGCGTCACAACGTGACGGCGCTGCGGGACACTCTGAGGGGAGCGGTGCGACGGGGTGCCTGGCCGTCAGAGTGGGCGGAGTACGTCAAGTACGGCATCCACCAAGTGAGGCTCAAACGGGACAGACACAGGAACAACCAGCAGCCGGCAGAGTGAGCAAGCTTTGGTTGCAACAGGCAGGGAGGGAGGGAGGGGGGGAAGGAATGACAGAAGGGGAGACGAACGATTGATTGTGTGACTGCCATCCGTGTGGCTGGCCGGCAGGTGTTTCATGGTGGTCATCATGCCACTTGGTGTGCATCGGGATGTCTACGGCACGATCAAGCGGCTCATGTGCATCGAGCAGCCGATCCTCTCCCAGTGCGTCAAGAGCAAAACCGTTCACGACAGATTCGTCAGAGTAACCAACCCACCCACACACCAACTCAAGCCACCAGGGCTGAACCAACACACTCTGTGTGTGTGTGTGTGTGTGTGTGATTGTAGGAGCCGGCCAGCTCCATGGTTCGGTCCAAGCTGGTGTGTCAGATGATCAGCAAGATGGGCGGCTGGGGCTGGACCCTCCCCGCCATCGCAGACTCGGTCTCCGAAGAGACCGACGCCGGCGTCAAGGTCCGCAAGGAGACCATGGTCATCGGCATCAACGCGGGGCAGGTGCGGCGCACACAGGTCCTCACCATGACCGCATCGTTCAACCAAGAGTAAGTTGGCCATATCATCAAAGGCAGGCGCATTCGTCACATTGTCATGCCGTCCGTCATGACGCTTGGTTGGGTCAGGTTCACTCGTTATCTGAGTGTGGTTGAGGTGCTGAGGTCTGAGCCGTCCGCGGCCACCTTCATGGAGATGGAGGCCGACAAGCTGCAGCAACACCTACCGGACTTCACACGACACTACGCCGAGAAGAACGGCGGCAAACTGCCCGAACGGATCGTCATATACCGGTACACACACACACATGCACACACACACACACACACACACGCACACCAGCAACAAGAGAGCACCCACAACGCCGTGCGCTCCATCTGTGCCTTCGTTGCTGCAGTGACGGCCTTCCCGAAGCCGAGAAACGCATCCTCTTCAAGTAAGTACGGTGCAGACACGACACACCCCACACAAGACACCAGCAAGGGTGTCGGTCGGTGCCTATCTTTCTATGTGCCATTTTTTCAGGCTGTACGAGGACGCCATCAAGGCCGCCATCCAGGACTTCCCCCGCCGCACACGTCTGGTGCACCCCTCAGATGTGACACAGACAGGCCAGTCGCGGCCGTCGTCCTCGCCGCCTGCCTTCAGCCCCTGCGTCACTCTCTGCATCGTGGCCCTGCGCGGCACACAGGGCGTCAAATTCGCCCAAGTGCATCCCGACCAGCAGGTCGGTCAGCTCGCAGACTGACAGACTGACAGACAGACAGACCACCTCATATAGCATATGGGTGGGTGTTACGGCTGCATCTGTGTGTGTGTGTGTGTGTGTGTGCAGGTGACGAACCCTCCTCCCCACACCGTGTTTGACCGTGGAATCAACCGGCAGCACAAATTCGACTTCTGTAAGGAAGACTGGCGACCTAATGGCGGCAGCATTTCCTACCTACATTTGTTTGCCTGCATGGCACGGTTGGGTGTATGGCGTCCGTCAGACATTGCTCACCAGCAGGTGCCCACCGGCAGCGTGAGTCCGACCTACTACGACGTGCTCTACAACAGTCCCCTGCTGGACGCTCCCAGCGGCGGCAGCAACGGGTGTGTGGGCTTCAATGCCGACAACTTCATCAACCTGACCACTCAGCTGGCAAACCTCTACCAAAACTGGTGCTGGTGACTGGTGGGGGGCCGGGCGGGCAGGAGAGGACACACGGCACGGCCCCTGTGCTGTGCTGCATGCCCCATCCATCCAGAGCCCCTGTCTATTTGATTGTGTGTGTGTGTGTGTGTGTGCAGGGCGGGCCCCATCCGGATGCCGCAGCCACTGATGTACGCCAAGAAGCTATCGGTCGGTCGGTGAGGGGGAGAGACGATATGATACGGTCCCACTCCCGTACGGCGCCCGACTTGTTTGTGCATGTGATGGATCGATCGATTGATTCATCAGGATTTGGTGTCCGAGTATCTGCGTGAGCGGCCAGACGAAAGCCTCCGCCAGAACCTCTTCTACCTGTGATTCTCACGTGTGTGTCTGTGTGCGTATATATGTGAGTGTGGATGGCTGCGTGGATGGAATGGAGCCTTGACGCTTTAAGTGTGTGCACAGGGCATGCATTATGGCATTTACGTGTTTATTTCTTCATGGCATGGGGCCGACGGCTGTGAGGGCATTGCATTTATATACCGGCGTGGCGTGGTGCCGTGAAGAGAAGGACCGGTTGGTCTATTGGTTTGTTGGTCTATTGATTCCATTATACATATGGTGGAGAGAGGACTTGTCGCTCAGTCGTCATACAGCCTCTCGCTGGCGGAAAAACAGCAATGATCTTCCGATCCGATAAAAAGGCGGCAATTTGTTTTCGCCTTGTCCTCGTGCACATCCATGTGGCTGTGTTGCGCGTGTCCATGTGCGTGTCCATGTGCGTGTGAGTGTGAGTGTGAGTGCATGGACTCACGGGCCCCTCTGTCAATCCGATGGAACCGATCGTCGTTGAGATGGGCAGAGGCCATGTCAGATCATGTCAGCTACACAGACAGGCACATAATGACTGACTGACATGCACGCGTGAGTCGGTCGACCGGCACATTAACGACCGAACAGAGAGATACACACATACATACATACGCATACGATATGCCCCGCCCTCCGCTCGGTCGCTCCTTCGCTCCTTCGCTCGCTCGCCCTCACACCTCACTCATCATCTGTGGGTGAGGGAGACAGTGACGTGACGCACTGATCAGATCCGCCACTCATGTGTGCTCGGTGTGGCCGACAATCACACATACATATTACAGACGGACAGACAGTCAGAGATGGGTAAGTACATACATACACACAAATAAACGGATATGAAAGTAGTCGATGCTCCTCTCAGGCAGACAGACAGGCAGGTGGGCACGCTGGCCAGCTGCCACACGCACCAAGACGTCAAAAACAGCACACATACACCACACGCACACACACACACACATAGAGTCACGCCATATACTCAGTCAGTGTGCCTGCAAGACGCGGCCGGCGACCCACACGACCGGCCGGATCAGCACCCGCCCCCGCCGTCTGTCCCGTGCCAGTCGAGGTACACAATCACACACGTCATATTGTCCATCGAACCCTGCACACACACACACACACACACACGATGATCATGGAAACGATGCCAGCCAACCTCCTGATCCGCTGACCTCTTTCCAGGCTGCGCGTATGACCTTATCGGCCGCCCTCCTGAGACGCTTGAGGACGTCGGCATCCTTGTCGGTCCCCTTGCCGTCTCGGGGGGCTGCGCACGCCTTGGCGTGGACCTCCAGCCCACTCTCCTCACCCCCACCCGCTGCCGCACCGGAGGAGCCGTTGTTGCGGCGCCCTGGACGGGGCACACAACGACCCTGCACACAGACAAACACAGCATACACAGAGGACACAAATGAGAGAAAGGGTGGGTGTTGGAACGTCGACTGACAGAGGGGCTGTCGCCTTCCCCCCTGCCGATTGCCGCAGTCAGGACGACATGCGTCAGCCGGCAGGGGGGACGCGCCCGCCCGTCCGCTAAATGTTCATCCCATGCCTCACTGTCGCACCCGCATGAAAGACCATGCTCACGTGGATCGCACGACTGAATCCTAGGTGCTGCCTGCCTGCCCCCTCGCCGCCTTTCTCCATCCATCGTGTAACCAACCATTCATACTCACCTCATTTGCTCCTCCGCCGCCCTTATTGGTCATGTCGTATGTCATGGTCCATCCCTTGTCTCGCTGCACACCCCTCGCCACGATGCTCGCCCACGACGGCGCTGCTGGCGTGGCGGACTCGGACGAAGAGGAGGACGACGATGCAACGCCCATGGTGCTGCCGCTGCTGCTGCTGCTGCTGCCTCTGTCGGCCGCTGCAGCAGCGGCAGCCGTTGGGGGCTCACTCGTGTCGGAGTCGTTGGGGGTCTTCTCGGTGCTATCTCCTCCCGATGCGCGGGAGGTGGCTGTGTTGTCCTTGATGTCCTTGTGGGAGTTGGGTGAGGAGGGGTGGACCACGACCGACTGGGAGGATGCAGACGAGGGGGAGGCCTCGTCACCGTCCAACTGAGGGATCAAACGAGATATGCTTCTGGCGGGAAAGGGGGAGGGGGGTTGTTCCTCGCCGACCTCGTTGGCGATGATTTTGATGGTTTCTTCATCGGACAGCACGTCCCACACGCCGTCGCTGCACAGCACCATGAAGCGATCGCCGGGCTGCAACGGACGCTGCACACACAGGAGAATGAGGGAGACTATGAGGGTGGGTTGGTCGACATCTGGTCTGCCTCATGGCGGTTGTTTGTTTGTTGTGGGTACCGAGTAGCACTCTGGCTCGGCAATGACGAGGTCGCTATTCTGCCGCTTGATATCGAAGTTGCCGAAGGCTCGCGAAACCGCAAGCCGACGCTGCACACCGTGACCGCTAACCCTGCAAACACACAGCAAACACACACCATCTTCCTTCCATGGCTTTCCGTGTCGCCTTCTCTTCTTGGGTTGCTTTGCTTGCTGACCTGGGGCAGCCGACATGCACGACCCAGCCTCCCGCCCGGCGGATGCGCTCCATTTCGTCATGTCTGTTGGGCTTGTGGTCGTGAGTCAGACGGACGGCACGGTAAGACACTGTCGCCGCCACAGACGCCTGCACACATGAACAAAGAACACACACGACACAGGTGGTGCGAGCCCATCCTGCTGGCGCCGCTCCCTCCAAAAGTCGTTTGCGCATCACATCACCTGTGGCAGTCCCTCTCCCTGCTGCTGTTGCTGCTGGTTGTGCGATTCCCCCTGCTGCTGCTTCCCGCTGTTTTCGCCCCCATCCCCACTCCCCCCTGCCGCGTTGGCCCCCTCGTTGGTCGCTGCCCCCTCCTCCCCGCCGTCCCCACCCCCAGAGCTACCATCCTCCATCTTAATGTCGCCGTCCCGCTCCTCATCCTTATCGTCATCGCTGCTCTCGCTGTCCACCTCCATACGATCACCACACGCCGGCAAGAGCCCGTTCGACGTCCGCCGGCAGATGCCGATCTTGCCCAGGGGCTCCTCCGACTGCTCCTCGGGCAACGGCGACGAGGGAGACATCTCGATGTCACCTTCCTTGTCCACCACCGTGGCAGTGTTGGTGCTGTTGGGGGAGGCGCTGCTCCCGGTGCCGTTGAGCAACGATGATGCCTCGTTGACCGACTCGAATGGTGTGCGGGAGGGCCGGTCGGGCGAGACGGTGGCCGCCAGGTCGTCGAGGTCACCGATGGGTGAGATCTTGGGGAGCAGGGGAGTGCCGGGGGGCTCCAACGGCTCGTCGCCGGCAGCATCTGCAGCTGCGTCGCCGTTTTCGCCATCATGATGTGGCTGCTCCGCCCCCCTCTGCGCCTCCCTGTCTCCATTCCTGACATCCTCCTCTTTGGTCTCGACACCAGCAGCGGCAGCGGCAGCCGCCGGCACCAGGTCGCCATTCACCACCACCACTTCAGCCCCCTCTTCATCCGCTGGCACGTCAGCTCGACTGTCGCTATCGTCGGCCTGGTCACCCTCAGCCACCGGCAGGACGTCCACCGTCTTCGGGGATGCGGTGAGCGGCGTGTGCGGCAGGGAGCCCTCCGGGGTGGGTGTGTCGAAGGGCAGCTCGTTCTCGTCGTTGGTGGTGGCCAGCACTGCCCGTGAGTCGCCGATGTGCGCCAGGTGGAGCACGTTGTGGAAGACTAGGCACACCAGGGCCGTGCTGCCGTCCTGGCCAGAACACCTCTCCAAGAACCGTCTGGTACACACACACACACACAGACAGACAGACGAGGTCAGGGCATTTCGCATCGATCTATCGCCTTCTGACCTGTCGAGCTCCAGAAATGCGTTCCGAAACGCCTCGTGGAAGTTGGCGCGGAAATGCTGGATGGACAGGCAGAACGACAACCACAGCTATCTATGATGCGGTCGGTGTACGTGTGTCGGATCGTCCGTCCGTCTGCCCACCTACCTCTTGCAGGAGTATGAGGTGATGCAAATTGTCCCTGGCTGCATTTGACGAACAAGAATCCATCAACACAACACCCTCTCTTAAGAGACTGATCCATCCCTGCCGTGCACGACCCTGCTCCCACCGACTGTCCCACAAACCTACCGAACTGCGCCGCATCCTTGCCCCCATGGCCATCAAACACCGCGAAATACGCTCTGAAGAGACAGACCCACACCACACCACCAGACGGGCCGGCGCCTACGAGTGAGAGAATCCCCTTCCCACCCACCCCATCTTTTGTGCGTGGCGTACATACATTTCATCTCTAGCGAATGGGTCGACCCCCTTGCTGCTCCCGAGGGGCGTGGGCGGCCTCGTGGAGCTGCTGCCACTGTTGTAGGGCTGCACCAACCCGCCCCCCTCACTACCATCCTGTTCCTTCTCCTTGTCCCTCTCGTCCTGTGTCGGCCCCATGCCGTCCTGCGTCTGCTGTGCCCGCAGGCGAGTGGACGATGAACCGATGGGCGACGGCTGGGGACGGGGGAATGTGGCGTAGTGTGCGAGGGTGGATGTGCCGCGGCCGCCTGAGCGGACCACTATGCGGCGGGATGGCTGCTGGCTGCCATTGCCATTGGGAAGGGGCGGCAGGGGAGAGGAGGGGAAGGGGAGCGATGGGAACATCAGATGCACGTCCTCCATCACCTTCCGACGACCCTGTATGATCAGACACATACATCACAACAACACAAACACAACAACACAGTGTGGGTGTGCGCATGACATGGCCATGGTCTTGTTTGCCGCGTTGTTGAATTGAATGGCGCCCTGCCCTCTCACCTACCTGTGACTCGGCTGCTGCAGCGAGTATCCTAAGTGAGTACTGCGGTTGGCTCATTGCACTGTAAAAGCTCGTCACCGAACGACTGTGACTTCCCGCTCCCGGAGTGGCCACCTAACAACACACACACAGAACACACAGACCGCACCAAATGATAGAAGTACGCGTCACGTAAACCGCACAAGATAGATCCCTGTGCTCTCTTCTTTGCTCACATACATTCTGCTCTCGCGTCCTTGGCGTCATCTCTGCGTCCTTTTTGGCTTTCGGATTCTGACGCGGCGACGTCGGCGGCACTTCCGGTGGAGGCTCGCCGCTCGGGCACGATGCTGACGAGGCAGCCATGCCGCTGGTTTTCGTGGTTGCTGCTGCGCTGTACTTATCAAGGTGGATCAGACGACGCAAAAGTGGCTATCGCACAAATTGAGGATACCGCCGCCTTTGACTCTGGCTGCGGAGCTAAGATACAACAAGTACCTTCCATTTCTACCTCCCTCCTTCCCGAATGCGAGCTTGAATGGAGCGGAGGAGGCGAGAGAGAAGGCAACGATGTGCTGGCCGCCCATGCTTCTGTGAAAGCCAATTCAAAGAGAGAAGGCGTGAGTTTCGCAATGGCTGCAAACGAGAGTTCTGGTGGTCTTCGCATCATCGGTGCAGGCTTTGGGCGCACAGGGTGAGCCGATGGGTGGATCGCTTGACAAAAGGATGGATGCTTGTGTTGATGCCTAGCTGCAGGACGTTATCGCTTAAGAAAGCCCTCGAGATGATAGGCTATGGCCCATGCTTCCACATGACAGAGATCATCTTTGACCCCAAGGCGCCACGGAAAGCGCGGCAGTGGAAGCAGATCGTGGACAGAGATGGCAATGACGTCGACTGGCACAAGGTAAGCGCACGCAGACAGACAGACAGACAGGCCGGCGGGCAGGCTTGGATGGATTGCACTGATCACCATGAGCCACATGTGTCTTATCGATGCGATGCATGCTGCAGGTGTTCGAGGGCTATGTGTCTGCCGTGGACTTCCCAAGCGCCCTCTTTTACCAAGAGCAGATGCAGGCGTTCCCTGACGCAAAGGTGGCTGGCTGCTTTGCTCACAGCTGCCCACCCTCCCTCCCTGATCGCACACACTGTGTCGCCTCTGCTGTCCCTCTGCCTGCAGGTGATTCTCACCATCCGCGACCCTCACAAGTGGTACGCGAGTGCGCGTGAGACCATCCTGCGGAACCGCCATAACTTCAAGTCCTTCCCCGTCAACGTCGGCATCTGGCTGGTGGGGCTCGCCGACCTCACCGACCTCGTCATGAACTACGGCCGACTGCGGTGCTGCACTGACGCACACGACATGGACAAGATGACGGAGGAGGGCAGTGTACGGCGATTCAACGAGTGGGTGGAAGAGGTGAAGCGGACAGTCCAGCCAGTAGACAAGCTGCTGGTCTTCGAGGTACGCACGGACGGACCAGCAGGAAACAAAGGTGCATGGACAGACAGACAGACAGACAGACAACATGCCATGCACAATCGGTTTGTGGGTGTTTGGTCAGGTGTCGGATGGGTGGGAGCCTCTCTGTCGGTTCCTGGATGTGCCGGTCCCCCCCGTGCCGTTCCCCCGAGTGAATGATCGTGACGAGTTCACCACGCGCCAAGGGAATTACATGAGGCTCCTCACCGCCATTGGCTGGGCGGCTGTGGTGAGCGCGGCGGGGGCTCTAGCAGGCTGTGTGTGGCTGGTAGGCCATGGCATTAGGAAGATGAGCAAGTGACTAACAGACGGCATTGGTGGTTAATATATGGGGTGTGAGCCGTTTGTAAGTGTGTGTGTATGTATGTATATACGGACGTGTGGGTATGTGCGTTAGCTTTTGACGTGTGCATAGGACAGCATCGTGCTTGTGATCTGTTAGACAGCCATCCGCCCGCCCTCATTGCACGACTGCTGGCAGTCATGCAGTGAGGCCGGGCGGATGGCTGTCTAACATGATCGAGCAAGGACGTGGCGGCTATCGGTAATCCGTCGGGCTTGGCAGGCTGGCAGCCATGAATCGATGCATTCACCATTCTTGCAATGCTTTGAGCCCTTTTTGCAGAGCCCTTTCCGCTCGCTAAGCTTGCAGACCTGCTGCGAGCTCAGAGATGCGGCAAAGGAGGCGTTCCAACGAAGATCTGCACGGCAACAAACTGTAAGCAAGCGGGAGAGCCGCTGCTGCCAAAGATCTGCGCAGAAATGGAGGCCAAATCAGTGCCGTGCGAAGGCGGGCCGAGCAAGGGCGACGAGGCGTCTTCTCCTCATCGACTGCTGGGGCCTCTGCTGTCCATTGGCGACACTGTAGTCCGCGACAAGGGCGAGGAGCGAGGCCTGCCCATCCTCTCAGTGGCCTACTCCCTCGTGCTGCCTCGGGTGTGCGATGCCATGGTCAGGAGCATGCCAGTGGAGGACATCATGAAAATGATGATGCGGAACTTCTTCGGTGAGGGACACTGGTTGCAACACGGACGACACAATGCGCCTTTTGATTGTGTTGCGTTTGTCGTTGGTTGGTTGGTTCAGGGTTTATCATATGGGAGTTCAAGGACGAGGAGGCATCGCAGAAGCACGACCACTCGGTCATGCTGCATATCTTCCCAGGTAGGAGCGAGTGAACGCATGTGTGTGTGTGGAGGACACAGACAGACAGGAGAGGTTAGAGAGGTAGGTGGTCCTTTGTGAGTGGCTGGCTTGTGTGCGTGTGTGCGCCTTCAGAGAAGGTCGACAGCTCACTTGAGTTTCCGCACTGTCACAAGAGGAACTGGTAAACAAGCTCGGTCAGAGCGCCACAGCAACACGTCGGTGTGGTCATTCATTTACCCTTGGCGGGGTGTGGTGTCAGGGCGTCGATCAACATGAACGGGACGTACCAGCACATCCTCTACAGCTTCGTCAAACACGACACTGGTAGGCCTTGCGCTGTCTGTGTGACGATCGGTGGATGGATTACACGCGCTGTGGATGCATTGCATATATCCTGCCTGCCTGCCTGCCTGCCTGCCTGCCATGGTTGCTCAGGTGAGGCCATCACGCCTGATCTGTCGATGGCCGGCCAGGCTGCTGAGTGTCCGCATGACCGCCTGAAGCTGTTCGAGCACGAGATGGAGACGGGCATCCATTTCAGGGGGCAGGTGCGAGTCAACGCAGTGCAGGTACGTACGTATGTATGCTGTGGACACGTTTCCATAGGCATCGCATCCACCTGACTGACTGACGCATACATACATAACTGTGTGTATGTGCGCCCCACGTATGTGTGTGGTCTATCGGTGTGGCGTGAATGGTCTGACTGACAGGAGTTCACGTACAAGAAGGGTGTGGTTCAGTACATGGATAAGCGTGTGCCGCATCGACTGGACAAGTATGGTGAGTGAGGAAGAAATGGAATGGACAGCCGACGGGCCTCCCTCCCTCCATACGTTGGTTGGCTGCTTGTGTGTGTGTGTGTGTGTGTGTGTGTGTGCAGAGAACACCTTCTCCCTCAATGTTCGTGGGGCGATGGACCCAACGCTCAACACACTGTTCACCATCCTCAACGATAGACCCCTCCCACAGGTCAGCCAGCAAACCCATCTCGTGAGGAGCTTCATCAGATCTCGCACTCCCATCTCGTACTTCGATGGATGGATGTGTGAATGGATGGATGTGTGGATCAGAATGCCGACAAGCAGTGGCAGGTGCCGCTGTCGTCCCTCGAGGAGGCCACATTCGTCATCCGCCACGTCACCGCAACATTCAACAATCCCGACCTCTCTGCCTTCACTGCGATGGGTGGCGACGCGGTCAAGCTGGCGTCTCTGCCAATCGACGAGGCATTCCGTTATGCCGTCGAGGTCGTCAGCAGACATGAGGACAGGTGCGTGACCAAAGCAATGAAGGCCCACATACGTACCTATGTGTCCTGTTTGGTTCATGTGCTGTGCTGTGGTGCATGTGCAGGTTCCCCCTCGTTATGGCTCTGGACAGTGGCGGTATGATGAAGGCTGGCGTGGTGACGGGTGAGGCCGTCGAGGGCCTCGTCGGCCACAGCCTGAGGACAATGCCCGAGGTCCGGGTGCCAGAGCATGTGTAATTAATTCGATAGATCTGCAGCTGAAATCGATGTGCGGACGGTAGGCTCTCGCCTTGACTCCTTTATTTTGCCAGTGCTGCGGCATGGAATTAGTGCAGGCAGTATGGTGCAGTATGTAGGCCTGCCTGGTTTATCCGTTTATCTCATCGTTCGTAGTGCTAGTGACTGACTGAGTGCTGCCTGGGATTTTGAGTCCTGTGTGATTGTCTCGGTTGATGATGCAGCATGGTCGATGGATGCAGGCAGTTTCATCTAGTTGCTTTATCGTGCGTCCGCGAGGTTTTGTTTGGATGTGCTGACCCAATTTTGTGCTGACCAGTTGACTGTGTGCATTGCTGATGCCGCCCTCGAGCGGAGATCAATGGAAGCTGTCAGCCACGAGCCCAAAGAACGGGTCGTCTGGGCCCCCCGGGATGGCACAAGTGAGAAGAGGCAAACAACAATGAATTCAGTCTGGTATACATGCACGAGTCGGGTCCCCACAACCAGCCCCACCGCACCACAACCACACGAGGACGCAGGGCACACAAATGGACGACTAGTTCTCCTCCCCGCCGGCCCCCATGCCCATCATCCCCTTGGCCCACGTGGCCACCTTCTGGACGCCCTTGGAGGCCGCCTTCTGCAGGCGGACCCGGGCCACGCAGGCGTGTGTGAACGCCATGCGGAGGCCGCGAGCCGCGCCGCAGCACCAGCAGCAGCTCTCTTGCCCCACCACCACCCAATATCCCCCCACCCTCTTCCAATGGGCGCGGTCCCACTTGGTCAGTGGACTGACATAGAAGCCGTCCTCGCCCTCGCCCCACAGCGCCACCGGCACCACCAGGCGGTACCTGCCATCGCTAAACCGCGCGTTGCACGGGGAAGGGGTCTGGGTCGGGAGTGGTGAGTATGTGGTGGCGGTGGTGGTGGTGGGTGGGTCTGGGTCAGGGATGGGGATGGGGGTGGCCAGGCCGAGGGCGTGCTGGCGCATCGTCTCCCTGTCCTCCTGGAAGCCAACCACACGCACAGAGAGAGGACAGAGTGTGTGTGTGTGTGTGTGTGCGTGTGTTGTGAGGTGACTGTGGTGAGAGGCCCTCACCCTCATCCACTCGATGTCCATCTCCCAGTACTTCATGATGTACTCCCTGTTGTCCTCTGTGACGCCCTACACACACACACAGGGGTACACGTGCATTGTTGTCCGTCATGTGCGCACTACCAGTGCACCAGTGTGTGCCAATGATCAGGCTTACCATCTCACTGTCGTATTCCGCCCTGGCCTCGTCGTCGGTCAGCACCGTCTTAGCCGCGTTGATGTCCTTGATCAGCTGATAGCTGTGGAGGCTCTTCTTGTCGGGGTGGAGGTACGGGTGCTGCACCCACACACAGACAGCACAACACAATCCAGCTGATGCAGTCACATAGGCTCAAGTATGCGTTCATGTCAGTCGACACTCATCGCATCATCGTCTTCTCTTGTTTTCTGTTCTCTTCACATCACATCACACTACATGAAAACGCTCCGCCCCGCCCCTCTTTGTGTCCATCGGTATGCAGGCGAACCTCACGACAGACCTTCCTGTAGGCCTTCTCTATCTCCTTCTTGGTGGCGTAGGGCGACACCTCCAGCACGGCGTAGTGGGCGAGGGTGTAACTGATGGCAGCGGGCGGGTAGGCGTAGTACTGCGGCATGGCGGGCCGGGTAGCAGTGGAAGCAGCGGCACCGACGCGCCGACAATGGCAGCTTATCTCACGGGGTTTCAGGGTTAGGGTTTGCTTAAGGTTCTCGTGAAAGCAGTGCTGGATGTGCGAGTGATGATGATGAGAATGAATGTGTGAGGATGTGGCAGACCTGTACGACCGCGTCGTTTCGCCTCGGCTGCAATCAATTCGATCACTCCTGAGGGTTTTGCGAGCTTGGCGTCAAACACGGCAAGGCTGCGAGGCGCAAGGATGGAGATCTGATGCATCACGAGAGTGCAAGACTGAAGCCTGCTCGCCTGCTCAACTTGCTCGTGGTGACGTCGCTGCTTCCCGATGGCACCCACGGCGGCCGAGTGAGTATCTCCAGACTGACACTCGACACCTTCTACAAGGCCGTGAGCAAACCGGACTTCTGCTTCGTGTACTTTCACGCGTAAGCCAACAACACAACAGAGATCTTTTCCTGCTGATGGATCTACCGCGTCTGTCTGCACCATGTGGACGTGTTGTTGCAGTGATTGGTGTTCGCACTGCGGCAGCGTCGGGTTGGAATTCGCTAAGGCAATGCGCAAGACCCTCAAGATACTTCCAGGTCAGTGCAGCTGTCTGTCTATGAGGGAGGTTCAAATGTCCAACTTCTATATGTCCTCCCTCACTGCATCCATCCATCAGATCTGCAGCGTACGTCGTCGTCTTCTCCCCTGGATGAGGTCTTCCCCCCGCCCTCCATGGCCACCGGGGCGGCCACAGACTCGCCCGAGCGCGACCGTCCCCCAGCCAGGACCAGCCGTGCGCCACTCACGGTGCAGTTCGCCACTGTCGACGGTACCGAGGAGGAGGAGCTGGCCTACACGTGGGCGTCAGATGGGTATCCCGCACTCATACTCTTCAATAAAGGTTAGGTGCGCGAGAAGGGGTCGGGAGAAAGCGGCCCGGCCCCTCCATGTCCGTACCTGTTCGGCTGCCTGCGATCAGGCTTTTGGCTCGAGTATGACGGCTCCCGGACCGCCGACGCAATGGTGAGCAGCCTTTGTTGAGCTGCCCGGATACAGTCCCGTGCGACCGTCTTTTGCTGTCCGTCTGTCTGTCTGTTTCTGCCTCCGGTCAGATCGAGTGGCTCACGTTCCGCATCCAGAGTAAGTGAGCCGCTATGCCACCGGCAGCAGCCGGATTCCGAATGTCGCTAATCCCTGCTGGTGTGTGTGTGTGCAGGGGGCCTGATTGAGCTGACGGCTCCGTCTGACCTGCACATGCTGAGGGAAGACGAGGAGACCGCTGTTGTGGGCTTCTTCAACAACACGGTACCCCACACACAGGAAGCAACGCACCCACAGGCGTCCTCATGGATGGTATCTTCTACATCTTCTGCTCTGTCATTGATCTGTGCAGGTTGACGGTCTTTATGACGATGACGACTTCCAGGAGTTTGCAAGGGGCTGTGGGGACTACCGATACGCATACGTAAGACACACGGGAGGTGAGGGCCCTGTAAACCATCCCACGTCATGTGCTGCCGTGTCGTCGACTGGCAGTCTTTTGATGGCGAGCTTGCTCCAGAAGGACAGCTCGGGTGAGCAGACATTCGGAATGGGCTCATCACGTTGAATGTGTTGTTCCATTCCTGTTTGTTTGTCAGCATATATTTCCACTCCCGTCATCCGCCAAGGTGGCAGAGATGGGACAGAGAAGGCTACACCACACACAAGACCAGGAGGCGACACGAGACGGCATGGGATGGTCATCACCACGATGCACCTGACCGTGACACAACCAGTGGCCCTCCTCTCGACTACGTTCACTTCTGTGATCGGGGCAGCATTCCGCTGGTGAGAACAGAAAGACGAGACAGGTGTTGTCCCCTCATTGACTGTGGACGTTCGCGTGTGTGTGCATATGGGTGTCCTAGGTACCGTATTGGTCCCCGGTGGATGCGTCAAGGTATGGCGATGGTGCATTTGAGTACCTGGTGTTCGTATTCATGTCCAAACGGAGCGACGAGGAGGTCAGTCAGCGGTCGCCACTCAGACGTACACCCACTTGTGTGTGTAAATGGTGTGCGTCTGATCAGGCCTTCACGGCCTTCCGCGATGACCTGGAGACCCTGATCCAGACTCTCCGGTCGCGCGACGGTGTGTATGAGGGCTACCTGCTGGTCCTCGTCGACATTGACGAAGCACCGTCCGTCGGTGAGGAGCTAAAAACGGAGAGGTACCTTACCTTACTGGTGTAACTAACGGTGGTCCACTGCGCAGGTTGGCAGTTCGGCATCGATGCATCATCGGCCCTGCCGGCAGGTCGGCCAACATAGCCCTGCGTGGCGATGGTGATGCATCGATGCCCACTTGTCGCTGGCTGCGTGTTCTTCTGTTACAACCAGTGGGGGCCTTTCGTCCATCGGATGAGCGCAAGTTCGTCCCCAGTCAACCCATGACACCATCAGAGAATGATGACGATACTGTAGGTAGACAGACATGTCGAAGACGCTTGCCAAGCGTACTACGTGTGCAAGACGACTGACTGTGTGTTTGTGAATGTGTGCAGGTGAGTGACGGTCAGGCTTTGGAGGACATTGGCGAGTTCGTGAGGTCGATGAGGCAGGGCACGGCGCGTTCACTCATCGTGAGCGAGGAGGTGCCCACGCAGGGAAGGGATCCGCCCGGGGAATCTCTTGTCCAGGTAGGACGGCCGCAGCATCAGGCACGGACACATTCAGGTGTATCTCTGTATGTGTGTGTGTGCCGGTGCAGAGGGTTGCGGGCAGCACCTTCGATGCGGCCGTCATGCAGACAGCCAACGATGTGCTGCTCTACGTATACACAGAATGGTACCACACTGACCAGATGCCCATCAGCAGACGCCCTTGCCGCGTGGTTGACGGTGTGTGTGTCCTCAGGTGCGGTATGTGCAAGAACATGTTCCCCGTCATTTACTCGCTGGCCGACAAACTCAGGAACATGAACGTCACCACTCTGGTCAGACGAAAGAGATCTATGGCTGCCGGCACGATTGGCGCTCATTCTAACTCTTTCCCGTTCGTTGTGTGCGCAGACCTTCGCTGCGATGGACGGAGGACACAACGAGGTACGCCAGGCGACTCATGAGCGAAAGAATGGGCAGGGCTTTTACCTCTGTGTGTGTTTTGTCTTGGCTGTCCTGTCAGCACCCCGCTCTGCCTGCAATCGACGGCTACCCCACCCTCCTGCTTTACCGGGCGCATTCCAAGGACAGGCCCATCGAATACCGAGAGGGTAGGTACCCACACACGTGTACAGAGCGGCATCCATGGCATGGCATGCATCAAGTTGGGGTGCGGTGTGCCCGGTTTGGTTCAGGCCGGTCTGTGCAGGCTCTGGCCACCTGGCTGCAGTATCACGTGTCTCAGCCCTTCCACCCCTGGCCACCCACATGGACAAATGGTAAGTGTGAAGCCTACAGCTGCCCATTGATTGTCACTCTCTCTCGGTCACTTTCGTGGTTGCACATGCAGATGATTTGATGGACAGCGAGGCCCTTCACGAGACAGACGAGGACACGTGCATCAAGGTGCATGAGGATGGTGGGTGAAGATGACGTGTCATCGATGGACGGATGCGCCTGGCGAGCAGCTGGTGTGAATGGGGCTGCCGCTGCTGTGCGTGTATAGGCTGGCGTGACGATGTGTGTACTGAGGAGTGTGAATGGCAGTTCTGCAACCAGCCACTGTAACAATACACCGGATGAGAAGTATCAGACATTCACTTCACGAGTGCACGTTATGGGATGGATGGAGACACTCAAGCTCGCCAAGGCCAACTAGCTAGCTACTCGTCCCCTTCCTTTTGCGCCTTCTTGAGGCGCTTCCTCCTCTTATCTCCCACCGCCTTGTGCCGTCTGTTGCCCTTGCCCTTCCTCTTGTGTCGCGCCAGCCTGGCCTCTAGCTCCTCCAACTTGTCATACTGACGGTCCGCCTCGTCCAGATGGCGGCGGCCCTCCTCCTCACGCCGCAGCCTCTTCTTCTTGCACTCATCGCCAGACCCTGAAATAAATAGGCATTCTCAACACACATACGCAGACGAATGCGATTCGCGAATGTCTGCCATCTCTGCCCTGCCGAATGCACCTTCCTCAGACGACATGATTTCGTCCTCCACGACGAATCCCTGCTGCCCCCTGTCCACCTCCCGAGCCGCCGCGTCGGCCTCCTGGTACAGACGCTCCTCGTCGACGAAGGCCCCGCCATTGTCATTGTCCAGCTGACTCTCGTCCACGTGAGCCTTGGCGGCCTTCTGCTTGGGCGCTGGTGGTGGGGGCGCCTTGATGTGCTCGCGAAGGCCGTCCAGCGCCTTGGTCGGGTCGGGCTCACTGCCTGACGACTCCTCCGAGTCCTCCCACTCCATCTCCTCATCATCGTCATTGTCACGCTGAGGGGGCTGGTCCTCAGCCGACGGGCGGTCCCTGCCTTGTGGGTGGGGTCTCTGACGTCGCTTGCGTCTCCGTTGGTTGAGTGCTGGGTCAGGTTTGTCGAGCCAGGGGTTCTTGTGGCAGAGACGGTCGAGGGCGTCGTCTTGGAAGTCATGCTCGTCCATCTCCCGGCGTGGCACTTGGATGCGCCGGCCCTCCTGACGGCGCTGCAGCCTCCTCCGCAGGGCAGCCTCGCCCCAACCTGGTGAATGAAGACAAGATACAGATGGATGGATGGATGGCTGGATGGATGTCTCTGTGTGCGTGTGTGTGTGTTACCCTCATCGCTGGATGGGTCAGGTTCCGAGTCCGACGGCCGATCCTCCTCACCCTCATCACGGTCGCCATCGTCTTCATGTAGTGCTGTGGCCGGCCTGCTCTCCTCTCGCGGCCGCGGAGGCCCTGCAGCAGGCTGAGCACCATTGGCAGCCACGGCCTGAACACATGTATGTATGAGTAACCATGCCGACTGGGGGAATGGCTGTCTGCCAGTAGAGGTGAGTCAGTCGGTGGGGCATGTATCAATAAACCACCTGCGTGTTGTTGATGTGGAACACCTTCCGCCAGTTGATCTTGTCGCCAGACGTGCTGTTGTTGGCGACGAGGTCCTCATACGACAGGGGAAGCACCATGACAGGCGACTCACCGGACGGCAAGAAGGGCGATTGCCGCCCATAGCGCGCCATGGCAGCAGCGCGGAAGCGACGGTAGGGCGAAGACGCGTCAGGGGCGGCGCCGGCCACACAATCCAGCAAACCGTCAACCTCCTGACGCCTGAGCGAATGTTCGGCAGGCAGCAGAGGGAAGACTGAGTGACGGACAACCTTCTCTCCTGCCTCCTCACCTCTCCTCGTCCGTCCCCTCTCCCGTGGCGAAACTCTCCACAAGCTCCTCTACGATGTCCGGGGGCAGGCCGTCGGTGTGTCTGGAAGCCTGTCTGCCGGATGATTTGGTTGCCGAGGCTGGCAGGGTGGTGTTGGGGGGACCGTGGCTCGCCCGCTGGGTCTCATACTGTGAGTGGGTGAGGGGACGCTCGCTTTGGGCCTCCAACACGCGGATATACCTGGTGAAGACCGCCTCATGCAAACGCCCCACCGACACGCTGTCCTGTTGGGCAAACAGGGTTGAGCAAGAGAGAGCAAGTGAAATGACCAGGTGGCATTCACTGTGTGACCTCGCCAGATCCCTGACCTCTTCCTGCCGGTACTCGGGGACCATGTTGAAGCCCTCGCCGGTCCCCTGCTGCTTGGACGCCGTGGAAAGCGCCTTGGATGCGCGGCAGAGGGTCCTCATGGACCTGACGAATGAATCGATAGGGAGAGCATGTCAATTGTCGGTCAATTCGTCGGTCGAGATGCTTACTCCTTGAGGGCGTCATTGTTGAGAGCATGGAGCCCGCCCGCTCTCGCCTCTGCATACAACACACTGCGATACTCCTCACGAGCTGACAATTAAGGCAACAACACAACAACGGAGAGCGCATGTATGTCTGCAGTCGTACATATGTCTTGTGCGTATCTGATTTCCCACGTACGTACGTGTCATCCACGGTGGGAGGTGGCCGCGGAAGGGACTGTTGCGCATCCGTTTGAGCAGCTCGATCTGCTTGCTGGCTGCAAGGGCCGCCCACCCGACGCGCCACAACAGGTGATGAAGACACGATGCAACCAAACAATGCTGGACGAGGGGAGGGAGGGAGTGACACAAACCTCGGGATCCCAGTGACCGAGCGTGTGTCTTCGTCCCCCCATTTGTGTATACCTGAATGAACTCTTGTGTGGTTTGTTGCGTCGGCACGCCAGCTGCAGGCTGGCCATCGGAGGGCTGCAGTGGGCTCAAGGTCTTCATGCCGGCCTCCACGTCCTCTAGCACCTCGGTCAGAATGGCGTACGACAGGCTACTCTCGCATATCTGGGATGGAAGACAACACAAACACAGCCAGTCCTGATGGGTCATTCCATTCCCTGGCCGTGTTCAATCTTGGCGTCATCTATCTCATCTGACCATGAGGCGGATCGCTATGGCATGGAAGGGCTGCTTCAAGTATGAGGGAGAGGGGGTCACACGGCTATCAAACAGCAACGGCTGCACAGACAAGCAACGGAAGATCGCCCTGTGCCATCTCTATTTTTTGTCCGTGCTCACCCGCAGCCCGTGTGTGCATTCGCGCAGGCGTTGGACGCTCTTGGCGAGTTTGTCGTACCCCTCCAGGGCCTTCCGCAGCCACTCCCTCAGCGGGTCAGTCGGCCCCTGTCTATCGGGCAGCAGCTCCCCCAGCAACTCCAACACCCCCGACGCCAGCGCACCCGCGCGGTAGTACATGGTCTCCTGTCTGTGGTCGCTCTCCTCGCCGCGCGGGATGCCCATCAGGCTGAAGTAGTCGTTGAGGATGAGCACCTTGGCGTTGATGAGCAGCGGCAGGTGGGTCGCCACGACCGGACGCATCCTCTCGTAGAAGTATCTCTGGCCGTCCGCCACATCGCCGGAGCTCCTGTACTCGAGCACATCGTCCAGAACCTTGAGCTCCTCCTCAAGTGGCTCTACGATGCTCTGGCGCTCTTGTTTCTCGCTCTCGGCCCACTGGGGAGGCTTGACGAGCCTCTGCCGCTCCCCTACTCGCCGCCAAGTGTCGACAGTCGCCACCTTGGCCTCCGCCCTGCGCACCTCCTGATGGGCCCGCCTCAGCAGCTTCTTGAGGTGGTGAAGTCCCGGCCCGGCCTTGCCGCGCTGCTGCTCCTCCCTGTCCTGCTCCTCACGAACCCTCCTGATCTTGGCCTGGCACAGCCGCCCAGCCATCTGGGCAGCCGCCATGCCGTCCGCAAGAGATACCACGTCGCCCTTCTTGTGATAGTCGAGCAGCAGTGTCTCGATGAGGGCGATGTACAGCTCCATCTTGCTGAGGAACTTGTCGACCTCGGCCTTGGTGAGGTTGCGGTCCTTGGACGCGGCGTCCATGAAGGCGGTAGCGAGGCTGTCGACGAGCTTGTAGGGGTCGCCGTGGAGGGAGATCTCAGCCATCCTTTCGCCGTAGATGGACACGTTTGCCTGCACAGCAAGCCGGGCCGTGAATGCGATGACGGCCACGAGGGTCTCCTGGACATGTTGGAAGGCCGGATGCCGTGCACTCAGTTGCCCTCGCAGCTTCTGTATTGCCTCCACTGACTGGTGGCCGTAGAAGAGGGCGGTGGCGACGTCGCCATCGTTGCGAAGCAGCACAGCGAGGCGCTGTGCGGCTCGGATGGCATGAAGGTCTTTAGAAATCGCCGGCTCACACTCCATCTGTACCTAACCAACAGCTACAAACTCCGCTCCAGGCAACAAAGAAAACTGGCCACTTGGCTAGTAACGGCTCGCACGACCCATTGAAGAGGCGCGTTATTACGACATGACGAATCAACGGCAGACAGCACAGATCTATCTATCGACACATGCCGCGAGGCACACATGCATTGCAACCCCATTCAAACTCGCCGAATGCCCCAATCTGCATCACAAAACAGAGAGTCCCCGGGGCGGTATCCACATCGGTTCCCTCGTCTGTCTGCTTACAGTAGGTGTAGGCGAGTTCGGGCGGCGTCAGCAGCATGTGACTCAGTAGCCGAGACTGACGAAGAACGATCAGTGACGCCGATGCGAGATATCACCCGACAAGCTTGTGTATCCGCTGGCTCGCTCACCTGAAGAGATTCGGGGAGGCCGTACGGCACCGCAGTGACCACTGCACGCTGCGCCTCGACGCGCCTGAAAGGGATGGAGAGACCAACACAAGTCACATTCATAACCCTCCTCCGCCACTGTTCGCACCTGGCCTTGCCCAGTTTCTCTCGGATGATGGTGTGTGCGTGGGGGTCGCGAAGGTCCACGAGCATCTCCAGACGCAGCGCTCCCCGGCTGGTCATGATGTGGTCTAGCACTTGCTCGAGGACACGGCCATTCCCTGGCGGGCAGTAGGGGCTCCACGCCAGCAGACGAGACGAGTACTCGGCTGACACGAGCACCCCAGCTTCCAACACACCACTCTGAGAAAGACAGAGGACGATTGACAGACAGACAGACAGACAGGCAGACAGACAGATGTTGCCACCTGGCCTTCTCTCGCGCTGTGGTTGGTATGATCTGACCTCTGGTTGGATGTAGCCGTAGAAGGTAGCTGTGCCGGGGAAGGCCGTCGACCCCTCAGCCACACACACATGGGGGAGCCGGTCCTGCAACAACACCACACCACCATTGTCATTCATGGCGAGCAGTCTTTCTTTCCGTCTGGGTGGCTCACCTGAATGACAGTATGGCCCACAAAGGCCTCCTTCAAGCCAGCCACAAGGCTGCCTGATGCACTGCTCGAGGCATCGACCTCACTGTCGCCATTCAGTGTGGCCGGCCAGGGGATGGCGTGGACATTGGGATCGTTGCACACATTGCGTCGACCTGATGGAGCAAGACGCAACAGTGAGAAGTTGCTTGTGCTGCACACTGTGCTGTAGCACTGTCTGTATGTGCCCCGACCGACCGACCGACCGACCGACCGATGTGTATGGCGTCCAGCTGGCACATCAGCCGGTGATTCGCCACCTCATATGCCTGCACAAAACGGCAGCAGGATGGTTGGTTGGTGGACGGCCTGCTGCTGTTCGTCCTTCTCGTTCTTTGTCTCACCTCTGCAGGGACGTTGAGGAATCTCCGTCGGTTGAAGTGACAGAAGAAGTGCACACCCATCGATGTGCCCTCGCCGCTGCCGACACCAGGCCTCTGCAGAAGCGATTGGAAGTACTGCTGGCCGGACAGTTCGCACGTCCGCAGCATCTGCTCCTCCCAAAACTCACTCACCATCGGCTGACACCCCACACCCCACACAGAGAGAGCAGCGAAGCATGTGTGTCGGTGGGTAGTGGTGGTCTGTTTGGTACGCTACCTACATCGCTGCCTTGGTAGACGGGTGTCAGCACACAGGGGATGCTCGGACGCTCTGCCGCACTCGCATCATCAGCCGCCCCTCCCACATAGCATCTGGTCTTGAGCATGCAGGCGAATTCTTTCGGGGCTCCCTTGAGCTCAGTGGGGTCATAGAGGGTCAGCACGTCAGCCTGCCCGCTGTCCAGAGAGCGACGCAGCGAAGGGCACTTTTGCAGCAGCCCCTTGATCTCCTCATAGTCATCTTCCGCCTCGCCGTTGAGGGCAATCTTGCCAGCTAGGCCAGGCAGGTAGGAAACAGTTCTGACGGCGCCAAGGCTGCAATGCGGCGGAGATCTGTGGAAGATCTGCCGATAGGCCTGGAGGTGAGATGTTTGGCAGGCGGCAGGAAGCGTAGGACGGCTGAACTGGCAATGTTGATGGACAAGGGCTCTCATTCATCAGCGGCTGGCGGTTCCCTTCTCTTCCCTGTGCGAGCTTCTATCGGGAAGAAGGGGGGGGTCGTTTCCATCCTTATTGGCTTCGCAAAGCTGTACAGGCAAGCGTATGTAGCTAGCTCTGCTTTGTTGTGTCGAAGTTCTCAATGCACGTCCGTTTGTCCTTCCCTCTCTGTGCCGTGCGCTTCTCTGGTTCGACGATACGCCTGACGCGAGTGTCGTGAGCCTTGATCACGAGCGACCTCTCTCGGCCACTCGAGAATGAGGAGGGCCACAACACCGCAATAACGGCGCACTACCAGGACAGTCGCACTGACCTCACGTGGATAGAGATCACACTGCTATATGCACACAGGACCACCAAGATACACACCCAAACCACCATGATTCAGCACCGAAAAACTCATGCATCACTCTCTACTTCCCCCTTCTCCCACCCACGGATACCGTCACTGTGAGGCGTTATTCTGTCTGAGATCTTCCACCTTGCCCCCTCTGCCCTTCGCCCTCTCCCCGCTCTGCTTCCCTCCGGAGCCGCCGCCACCGGCCAGCGGCACCACTGCCGACTCGTCCGCTACTGCTGCTGCAGCTACAGGCGGCTGTAAGGCCCTCACATCCGACCAAGCCTTCGTTGGCGATGGCGATGGCGGTGGCTTCGATACGGCCACAGCCTCAGGGCCGCTGGGGCTTCGGGCCGCCGTGGTTCTTGTGCTTTGGTGAGAGGGTGATGAGGGGGACGAGGGGACGCGGGGAGACACCGAGGGAGAGGACGTCACGCGGCCTGACCGGCCCTGAATGCAGACAGACGATCGACACGTGTCACAATCAGGGAGGGAGGCAGCTCAGCCTTGAGCTGTCTTGTGGAGCGGGCGGGCGGGCCTACCGTTGAGGGTGCCTGTCGCGGCTCGGGCACAAGGCTCAACGACTTCTGTCCGTCAGCCACCTCACGTGGCAAATGAGCGCCACTAGCAGCTGGAGAGAGAGTCGCTTCTGGCGGCGCGAGAGGGTCCTCGAGGATGAGCTGCGAGTCCTTGACGCCCGTCACCTTGACGAGGCACTCAATCGGCACCCCGTACCCCGACAGAAAGTTGCGACCTTGCTCATAGCTCTTCTCCAACAGACACGCCAGACTCACAGGCTGACACTCAGAAACACAGACAGACAGACAGACAGACATGCATGCAGACGGGACGAAGGGGAAAGGGGAGGACGTCCGCTCACCGTGGCTCCTGCCTGGGATGCGATCCTCAGCAGAGCGTCTTGCTTCGACCCGCCCGACAGAAAGGTGTCGACTACGACCACCCTGTCGGCCGGACTCAACAAGTTCTTCTTCACCAACAGCTCCCTGTGTCACACCCACACACGCACACCAACAGCAGCGTAATGGTTGGGGACAGCCACGTCTGTCCCATCGTGTCCTGGCCATGGCTTACTTGACGCGTCCCCCATGCACACGGCTGGTGTATATGGCCTGGTGCGAGTCGGCAGCAGTGGAGGTCTCCCCTTTGTGGTGCGCCTGCACCACCGGCACCTGCAGCTGCACCGCCAGAGGCATCGCCAGCACCATGCCGCTCTCGTCCGTCAGCAGCTTGGTGGGCCGGTAACGCGCCAAACGAGGGCCCAGCTCCTTGGCGCATTCCTGACAGGCACACGTGCAGGAGACAAGCCCTTCAAATGAGACAGAATGAGAGGTGCTGTTTGGTGGTTGGCTTACGGTGACGAGCTGGATGTCGACTTGTGCCTCGAGGAAAGAGGAGACGTCGAGGATGCCCTCGGCCTCGTCCAGCACCCTGCCTTCACGAAGCAAACGCTCCCTGCACACATGCATGCATGGCATGGGAGCAACACAATTGTGCATCTGTATGCTATGCCACCTGCCTGTGTATGACGGCCGTCACCTGAGTAGAGAGAACCCCTTGTGCTGCCGCTGGATGTCGATGTTGGTCTCCACATTGTGCCGCATCCACGGCTGGAACTCCAGCTCGAAGTCGGCCTGCAGTGCCCCCATCAGGTTGTTGATGGCCGAGCTCATCGACACCAAGCTCTTGCGCAGGTCGAGTATGGCCAGGGCGGCAGACACCTCGCCGCTCTCGAAGATCTCACGCTGCCCGTCAAAGTAGCACAGCACCGTGCGGAAGGTGCCTTGCCGACGCATCGACGACTGCACCCACACACACAAAGGGCAGATGAGGTGACCTCGGGTGCGAAGGGCAGCGTGCTGTCGCTGACCTTTGACAGAAGCAGATTCTGCGTGAGCTTCTCGACGTGGAGGCCCAGACGATTGAACACATACATTGCATTCTTGCCTGAGCCGAAACACGACACACACACACACACAGATATGAGAGAAAGCGCCTTGGTCTGGCTGTCTGTGCGTACCTTCTCCCGTTTCCACGGCTTCAACCTCGAAGCCCGACCGCTCCGCCACACACGGCAGGCCAGTCACCTCATAAATGTACCGGGCCTTGTACGCAGCCAACTCCTCCAAACTCCTAACCAACCACACACAGACGACGCTAGACACCTTCTGTCACCACAGCTGACTGCCTGACTCACTCACGTCTTTGCGTCCACTTTGACGTCCTCGAAGTCGGGAAAGTTCTGCCTGAACTCGACGCCGAAGTTCTCAAAGACGCCGCCGAGGCTGGCCATCATGTAGTCGGGGACGGCACTCACATACACGTGGTTGAAGGCCACCGAGGAGGGCTTCTTGTCGATGACGTCCAGCCCGGGGTACAGCCGCCGCTGCTCGCGGATGGCCTCGGCGGAGCCGCAGAAGAGCTGTATCTCGTCCTCAAGCTCAAAGGCGTCCTCAAAGTGCCTGTCACAGAAACGAGGAGTCGGTGTTGTGTTAGTGTGCTTCTCTTGCGGCGTGTGGCGTTTACCTGATATCTAGTTCGTCTTCATCTTGGTCCAGTGTCGGGGCAGAGGCCGCATCCGCAGACACCGAGGATGGTAATGGCGACGACGACGACGACGAGAGCTGAACACACACGTAGACGAAGCGAAATGCAGGACGGCCTGACGATTGCATGCATCGAGGAGCAGATCCACTCACGCGCCTACCGCCTCTGAATCGACATCGTCGTCGGCATCATCTTCCGCCTCGTACCTGCGGCACACACATGGCAACACGACAACAGATCAGTTCACGCACCACACTCACAGACAAATGTTCTTTCTCCCCTTCTGGAGGTCACCCCACCCACCAGTCTTCTTGCTCGTAGACGGTCCTCGTGAGCCTTCTGCTGCCCTTGCGGACGTGCGCGGGCGCAGCAGCTGATCCATACGACGAGGCCATCTCCTCCATCTCATCGTAATACCTCTCCACCTCATCGCTTATCGAACGCTTCCTTTACGCACACACAGACACACTCAGGCAGATCCATCAACACTGCTGCAAGCGGCCTGTTCAGCTGACCTGTGGTGTCCCCGCTCTGCCCTTAGATCCGTGATGCTTCGCCGCCGCCTTCCGACTGTTGCAATTCCCTCCACCAAGCCGCAGCCACCACCAGCTCTTGCCCGCCGCCGCCTCACCCAGGACCTTTGGCGGCCCTCCCTCAATGGAGCATGGATGAATGCAGCGGCGGCAGATGGTGCTGCGAGGAAGGAAATGAGGCCTTGTAGGGCCACGACTGCCATGGATCCTGCGAGACCGACGGAAGAATGGGCGCGCTGATGGCAGATGGCACAAGATCAGGAAAGAACGCTGACTGCACGACAGGTCGAACACCAGGAAGGAAGGGAAGACTCTCCACGAAATATGCGAGCTTGACAGATCTGCTATCTCAGCTCGCATGCCTTTCCCAGCTCTCCCCGCGGCCATGGAGCGGCGGCAAGGCGATGGCGGTAGAGTGCTATCTATCGACTCGGTTGATGAATCCAGACAAACAACCGATTCATCGTCGGTCGTCCAGGCGTCGGGCGAGTCGGCGCCTCTGTGGCTGTCGCTGGGCAACCATTCCCACAGCAGCAGCCACATCTACCACCAGCAGCAGCATCAGGACAGCAGCATCAGCGCCAATCCCTACCACATCGTCCTCTACAAAGGGCGGCAGATTGTGGTCTACAACCCATACCAACAGAGGATTGGCGCGCAGTGTCTGACCAGCGTCGAGGAGGAGGCCATACGCGTCCGGTAGGCAGGCACTCGACAGACAAGGGAGAGATCTCCGTGTATGTGGGATTTCACGGGTGGCCCCGCGCGTGTGTGCCTGTCTGTTCTCTGTCAGGCGACTGGCTCGGTGTCCGATGTGCTCCCAAGTGGTGGACTTGCAGTAAGACATGCACACACGGCACAACACAGCACCATGCAGAAGGAGCGAGCACCCTTCAATCTCCCTGTGTGTGTGTGTGTGTGTGTCAGGACCTTCTCCTTCATGGCGTCATCCTACTTCCACATCCTTCACGTACGCTATACACACACATCCATCCATCGATCCATCCATCCATCGATCCATCCATCCATCCATCCATCCATCGACCGCCCTGTGCTTTGTTTTTCTCCTGCCCTTCTTTCTGCTCAGGAGGTGTACATGCGCCAGTTCCACCAGCGTAACTCCAGCCCGACTGGCCAGGCCGCCCCTATGGCCACCAACAGCGGCGAGCATGGGCACGAGGCTGCTGGAGCCGCCGAGGCTACCAACCCCTTCATCGTTCAACCGCCAGCTGATGGCGGGCCACCTGAGAGCGGCGGACAGCCTGTCACCAAGGTGGGTAACTGGGTGTTGGGTGCGCGGGACTGAGAGGACAACAGGGTCCGTTGTGACGCGTGCTTGTGTGTGTTTGCCGGTCAGAACATTCCCCCAGGATTGCTCGTGACGGGGTACTATGACCGGTTCTTCATCGAGATCCGGAAACTCGGTGGGATAGAGAGTGCGATGGGTGGGTCCATCATGTCGGCGCGTATAATGTGTTGTCCCTTGATGACTGCAATGCACAGGTTCCGGCAGCTACGGTCAGGTCTATCTCTGCAGGCACGTCCTCGACGACCTCAGCCTGGTATGCTTGTGCGCACACCCGTGAGCATTCTGGTCAAGGTCGGCAGGTCAGAAAGACCATTGCGGCGCTCTGTCGTGGCTTGTGCAGGGCGACTACGCCGTCAAGAAGGTGCCTGTGGGCGACGACAGGCAGTGGCTCAGAAATGTAAGCCCTTACAGCCCATACACATGAATGAGAGCATCTGCATGTCTGCGTGTCTGGTGCAGATGATCCGTGAGGTCAAGATTCGCGAGAAGCTCCACCACCCCAACATAGTCGACTACAAACACTCCTGGCTGGAGGTGGGCAGGGCGACGATCCCATCCTCTCCGTGTGCAATCCCGCAGCTCTCGCCGCTCTCACTTGTGTGTTTGATCAGATGCATCGGCAGTCAGAGTTCTGCGTGTCGGTCCCCTGGCTGTTCGTCCTCATGGAATTTTGCAATGCCGGTGCGTCTGACCATTGACACGCGACACCCAGGGCCCTCTTGTCTCACCTATGTGCCGTTGGTGTGTGGTGTAGGCAACCTGGAGGACTTTGTGTGGGATGCCCGCAACGGGCAGCCACAGTACCTCACCGACATGCAGATCTGGTGTGTGCGACCAGAGAGGAGGCACAGACACACAGACAGAGGAGGCGACAGAGAGCTGTGCAAGGTTGCCTTCGGTGTTTTGTGTGTGTGTGTGCAGGAAGCTGTTTCTGGACGCGTGTCTGGGCCTGCAGCACCTGCACCACATGGGCATACTCCACAGAGACCTGTGAGCACATCCATAGAGGGAGGGACCGAACAGACGGACGCCTTGAGCGGCATGGCATCTTTGCATGTCTTCAGCAAGCCGTCGAACATCCTCCTGCAGTACTCTGTCGACGAGCTCACCAACAGACAGGTGGGTCGGTGGGGCAGAGACAGAGACGACGAACACACACCGCCCCATCTGCTCCTTATTCATTTGCTCGTATGTACCTGTCTGCAGACCTGCAGAGGTCTCCTGGCCGACTTCGGCACTGCAGAGGTCACCAGCAGCAGCACACACCAGATACATTGCACCTGGACTATCGGACGCGTTCCTCGCTGCAGTTGTTTTCCGAGCGTGCGCGGCGCGTCAACCGCCACGGGTTCACGGGGACGGTCGAATACACCGCACCCGAGCTGCTCGAGTGCGACGAATCTGTAGGCAAATATAATGCACGACAGACAGCCCGACATCGTCTCGCTGGATGAATGAAGGTGTCGCTATGCGTCGTGTGTTGTGGTGTTTGGTGTGAGGGCAGGGCCACTACAACGAGGATTACGACGTGCACGCCGACATGTGGTCTCTGGGCATCCTCCTGTACGCCCTCTGCTACGCTCAGGTCCCTTACAGCGACCCCGACCCACAGGTGCGCATCACACACACAACACACACACACAGAGCCGCTGCATCCATTCGTCTCGACCTTCGTGTGCGCTGTTCACCTTTAATGCCCTCCACCCATCCATCAGGCGTGTCGGTTGAAGATCCTGGCGCACACGACAATCGCTCTGCCCTCCCATCCCCGCCGCGGCCCCGACCTCCAGCACCTTATCCACGCCCTCACTGCGCGGGTCAGCCAGCACAAACAAAGAGACATACACTCAGACCGCCACACAGTTCAGGCCGGTGGGTTGCTGTGTCAATCGTCCTTGTGCGTGCAGCCTCCAGCGTTGCGCCCCTCGACTGACGACTTGCTGGCGAATCCGCGCATCGTCGACATTCTCAGGGACGCAAACATTCTCAACGGTACAACACATGAATCAGCACAGCGTCAAGGAGTGCCCTGAGTTGTGTCTGTATGGGTGTCTTTACTCAGAGGCGTCGAGTGAGTTGGCCGACATGGTGCGGCCGCGTGTCGTCGAGACGGACTCAGCACCCTTACCAAGGGTAACCCAGCCACACACAGAAGGAGGCAACAGCAACCAGCCCTCATCAACTGTGCGTTTCCCTCCCCTTGTGTCTGTCTATCTGTCTGTCTGTCTGTCTGTCTGCTTCATTCAGCAACCGTCTCGCGGCAACCAGCTGTCCCGCACACGTTCTCCCCTGCTGCCGTTCGCCTGCCCCGACCCATCAGCTGACGTCATCATGGACCCCGCTTCCCAGGACAGCATGCCGTCCGCCCTCCCGCCCCCAGCCCTCCCCATGCCGCCATTCATCGACGACCGGGCCGCTGCAGCCCGCAGCCGGCAGGCCGGGGGTGCACGCAGGCCCCCGGCATATCCAGCCAGTGGCAGGGGAGGGGCGGCCTTTGATGCTGCTGCGGCTGCTGCGCCATCGAGCAGGCCATATGAGGTCAGTGGCAGCCTACCCACCTACACACACGAACTGGTTGGTGCGTTCGTTTGATGGTTGGTTTGTTTGTTTGTCGTCTGTGTGCAGTTCGATCGTCGCATCCACAGCATCAGTTCCGACACGGACATGTCGCCGGGCGGCGTGCCGTCTGGCCCCGCCAAGGCGTATCCGAACATCCCCATCCCGCTGCCCAACACCCCCCTCCGGCCCCCACCAGCACCACCTAATGGCTAGTAAATGATGATCATATGGTTCGCATGACCGTTGTTGGCATGGCGTGGCGTGAATGGGTGGATGTGTGAATAATGACGGATGGGTGGGTGGGTGTGGATGTTGAGTGATGGACTGACTGACTGACTGACTGACTGACATGTATGAACAACAAAGGAAGGAGTCCAAGAAGGAGTCCATCCATGTCTGTCTGTCTGTGTGCGTGGCATGAGTGAGGCGCGGCGCCTATTGAGTGGACAGACATCAGTGAGACGATGTGCATTCGAAACAAATACGCTCCTGACTCTGCCTGCCTGCTGGTGTGGTGGAATGGGCTGAGTCGACATAAGTAGATGAGGCCTCTCTGAGCACCCAGCAGAGGTCAAATGGAGGCCCTCTCCGCCCAAGCATGAGCATCTCTGGCATCACACCTCCGTCTGGACGTCGACATACGCGGAAAGCGAAATTCAAATGCGCGAGATTTTTGCGAGCTGAGACGGAGACAAAAATGGTCTACGAGCTCGCAGTCCATTTTTCACAATTTTTCGCCGCGGTTCGGCTTTGCAGCTTTGTTTCGGCCACAGATGCTCCGTTTCTTTTTCTTTTCGGTTGGCTGTTGGCTAAAGTTGTCCGCCCCATCTCCCTCTACCCCTCCCAACTCGTCCGGATTCATCCGCCACTTTTTTCCTCCACCGCCGTGCCCCGGGTGAGGCCTCGTCTGATGGCGCCCTGCCTTCTGCGGAGCGGCTGGCGTCCCCCTGGCGCCTGCAGAGTGCGCACGCACGTTCTCTTCACATAAACCGCCCATCAGGTGAGTACATATGAGTGTGGCCTCGTGCGTCATATCTCTTGGGTGCGATGATGATGTGGTGTCTGGATGATTTGTAGGGATGAGGGCATGGTGCATTTCCTTTCGTGGGTAGGCTCGGATGCCTCCTGTTGCCGTGTTTGTGTGTGCAGAAGAAATGGTGATTTCGTCGTTTTATTCCCGTCTCTTTTGCTCGACGCATTTCTCTTAGGTGGATGAGGTGGGTGACTGCCTCATCACGTTCACGTCGGATTTCCTATCTGCTGCTTTCCAGAAACGCAATCCTCTGGTCCGACGAGAAAAGCGCGAAAAAGAGACAGATTCAAAATTGTATCTGATTTGTTTGTTGGCTCATGTGGGCGGCGTGGTTTGGTCGTCATGTCAGGAGGATTCGGCGGTGAGAGATGTCCAACCGGCCGAGACCAAGGAGGAAGGAGCTGTCGTTGGTGAGCAGGCCCCTGTGGCTGCTGTTGAAGAGAAGAAGGAGACCGTGACGGAGTTCATCTTTGTGTCTTGCAGCCGGCCGAGAAGTTTTCCCAACGACGACAGCCTCCTGACCAACAAGAAGGCATGCGTATGGAAGCCACAAAGGTAGTCGCGTATTCACGTGCACTGTCAGAGATTCAGAACGCTCACTTATTTCTTCAGCAGAAAAACGAGCAGTGTCTTCGATCTGAGTAGGCCAGTCGCCTCATTCGCTGCCCGGCCCGCCATGCCTGAGTACTACGCCTACCCGCCCGCTGCCATCAGCTACACCCGCTGCCACTACGTCGTGCTGGAGGTGTCGCCCTACGCCACCAAGAAGGAGATAGAGAAGGCCTACAGGAAGGTCTGTCGTCAGGTACGTACGCATTCAGCACCGATGGACACAAAGAGAGGCGGAGCGGGGCGTTTTCATGTAGTGTGATGTGATGTGGTGTGAAGAGAACAGAAAACAAGAGAAGACGATGATGCGATGAGTGTCGACTGAAATGAACGCATGCTTGAGCCTATGTGACTGCATCAGCTGGATTGTGTTGTGCTGTCTGCAATGTGTGTGGGTGCAGCACCCGTACCTCCACCCCGACAAGAAGAGCCTCCACAGCTACCAGCTGATCAAGGACATCAACGCGGCTAAGACGGTGCTCATCGACGACGAGGCCAGGGCGGAATACGACGCTAGCGAGGTAATAAGCCTGATCATTGGCACACACTGGTGCACTGGTAGTGCGCACATGACGGACAACAATGCACGTGAACCCCTGTGTGTGTGTGTGTGTGTAGGGCGTCACCGAGGCCAACAGGGCGTAGGTCATGAAGGACTGGGAGCAGTACGTCGAGCGCATGAGGGTGAGGGCCTCTCACCACAGTCACCTCACAACACACACACACTTATCCCCTCCCCTACCTGTGGACACTCTGTCCTCTCTCTGTGCGTGTGGTTGGCTTTCAGCGGGACAGGGAAGAGATGCGCAAGCACGCCCTGGGCCTGGCCAACTCCCATCCCCATCCCTGCCAAACCAGCCCCACCCGCCACCACCACCGCCACCACCTACGCACCACCCCCGCCCCAGACCCCTCCCCCCGTCAGCATGTGGTTCGAGGACGGCTCTTATCGCCTGGTGGTGCCGGTGGCGTGGTGGGGCGAGGGCGAGGACGGCTTCTATGCAAGCCCGCTCACTAAGTGGGATCGCGCCCATTGGCAGAGGGTGGGGGGATATTGGGTGGTGACGGAAGGGGCATGGGGCAAGGTATGTGTAAGGCAGGCATCATGATACATTGATTAATTACCATGTCTCATTCTTGTTCTTCTTGTTGGTTGGTGTCTCTCTGCTGTGGTTCAGGCCGCCGGTCGGCAAATTGCTGCTTACATTTTATATCGGCTGGCTCGTGAAGACTTGTCCATGCGCTGGAGGTGTCGCCCTACGCCACGAAGAAGGAGATAGAGAAGGCCTACAGGAGGGTCTGTCGTGAGGTACGTACGCCCGCATGCCAATAGACACAGAGAGAGGCGGGGCGGGGCGAAGTGACGTGAGTGCAGAGAGGTGGAGAGAGGACGATGATGCGAGAGCCATGGCTGCGTGATCATATGACGCATTGATGTGTGCTCTAAGGTTCAGAGAGAAGAAGGTGTGAACGTTCACGCCCCTATCGCCCACCGCTGCTGCTGCTGCTGCCCGCCATGACTCAGTACTACGCCTACCCGCCCGCTGCCCTCAGCTACACCCGCTGCCACTACGTCGTGCTGGAGGTGTCGCCCTACGCCACCAAGAAGGAGATAGAGAAGGCCTACAGGAAGGTCTGTCGTCAGGTACGTACGCATTCAGCATCGATGGACACAAAGAGAGGCGGAGCGGGGCGTTTTCATGTAGTGTGATGTGATGTGGTGTGAAGAGAACAGAAAACAAGAGAAGACGATGATGCGATGAGTGTCGACTGAAATGAACGCATGCTTGAGCCTATGTGACTGCATCAGCTGGATTGTGTTGTGCTGTCTGCAATGTGTGTGGGTGCAGCACCCGTACCTCCACCCCGACAAAAAGAGCCTCCACAGCTACCAGCTGATCAAGGACATCAACGCGGCTAAGACGGTGCTCATCGACGACGAGGCCAGGGCGGAATACGACGCTAGCGAGGTAATAAGCCTGATCATTGGCACACACTGGTGCACTGGTAGTGCGCACATGGCGGACAACAATGCACGTGTACCCCTCTGTGTGTGTGTGTGTGTGTGTGTGTGCAGGGCGTCACCGAGGCCAAGAGGGCGGAGGTCATGAAGGACTGGGAGCAGTACGTCGAGCGCATGAGGGTGAGGGCCTCTCACCACAGTCACCTCACAACACACAC